AGAAGAGCTTACATTGTTGGAAAAGTGAATGCTGGTTCTGATAGGTGTCGGAAAACACAGAGCATCACAGTTTGCTGTGTAGTTGCAGACCGGTCAGGGTGTCCATGCTGACCCGGGTCCACAGCCAAAAGTGTCTACACTGGGCATCAGAACTGGATCATGGGACAATGGAAGAAGGGGACCTGGTCTGATGAGTTCAAGAATGGTTTGAGGAACACAACAATGAGTTTGAAGTGTTGACGTGGTCTCCAAATTCTCCAGATCTCAATCCAATGGAACATCTGTGGGACATTCTAGAAAAACAAGTCCAGTCCATGGAAGACTCACCTCACAATTTACAGAACTTAAAGGATCTGCTACTGCCGGCTTGCCCTAGCAGAGTCTATGCCTCAACGGGTTATGGCAGGTGGTCCTAATGTCATGGCTGATCGGTGCAGAGGGAATTCCCTTCTTGGAAAGTTATGACTGGTGACAACTGTAGAGTTTTGGATTTTCTCTCACTTTTTCACCAATGACAGTGGTCACCAGGACAAATAGGTGAACTCCATAGCGGGGACAGGGACAATAAAAACCTGAAATCCACTAAATAGGAGTAATTGGAATATTGTTTCACCCAAATGACTAAATAACCAAACAAATAACAAGAGCTACCCGCATTGAGCCAGGCAAAAAGAGGTTAGCAACTGCCCCTAAAAAGTTAAATACACTTGAACAATTAAATATGTGAATAGGTAGGAGCTACAATAATTTTGTGTCAAAAAATAAAAATAAATAAATAATACAGTATACTCTCAACATCATCTAACAAATGATGTTCCTAGACAAAAAACTATATAGTGAGGTGAACATTAAGGTGACAGTCCCATGAAGATGTAGTCCCGTTAGATCAAAAAAATGTGCTGGCTTTCACCACTTGCAGACAAAAAGTGCCTTCCATTATGGACTGTGCGCACTCCCTAGGAGCGCACAGCACCGCGATCCGGTGGGGGTCCTCTGTGCGAGGTCCCGATCATGTGATCACTGATTGGCCAATACGTTTTGCCAGAAAAAATTGACCCTGTGTTAAGGTGCTCAAATATGCTTTATTATCATAAGTGTTGGTGACCAGCAACAGGCTCTGCTGGATCAAACCTCCTGGTCTCCTAATAAGGGATATTTGGATCCAAGGAATCAAAGAAATAACTGCCCCCCCATAGCAAAAAAAAAATAAAAATCCCAGTTGGATGGTCATAAAACTCTGGATATACCAATAGTAGATGAATTCACAATCCCAGTGCTCCCATCCTAGATCTGCTGCTGCTGGATCCCATTTCACATCTGACTGCTGGCTAAAACCTGTATTTAACTGCTTGGAGCACCTATGTGTGTATGTGCTTGCCCATTTCACTCTGCCTGTAAACCTGCCTGGTGTTATGTGTTGCATGCCTGTAAGCCTGGGTTATTTTATTACTGCTTATGACAACGTTGTCATTTGTTTAATAAACCATGTTGGCTGAAGGTGTTTTGGTTTTATGATTATCCTATATTTTTGATACTATCAATAAATGTGCATTTTTTTTTTCTAAGCCGAGGTTTGGTTCTCTCTTGGGCCCTCTTTTCCAGTGTGAGCCCTTTGCTTGCATATGTACTTGGGTCCTGAGAACACCACCCCTAATTGGGGTGAGTCGGCAGCCAATGCTAATAGTATTTATCCTTCAGTTGTTCCTGTTTTTTTATCTTTAATATATCTGGTTTTATCAGATGCCTGCAACCTGTCCGAGTGCACAGGTATGCAGTGTCACTCTATACTCTCAGATCTGAGGATAGCTCAGAGCTTTCAGTTTGGAGACCGCTTCCATTGTGGGAGATGGAAGGTCTCACCCAGGGATCAGAGGAGCCCCAGTCAGAAGCCAAGAGACAGAGGGTGTCATCGAGGGGTCAGAGGAGCCCCAGCCAGAAGCCAAGAGACAGAGGGTCTCAGCGAGGGGTCAGAGGTGCCACAGCCAGAAGCCAAGAGACTGAGGGTCTCACTCAGGGGTCAGAGGTGCCCCAGCCAAAAGTCAAGAGACAGAGAGGGTCTCATCGAGGGATCAGAGGAGCTCCAGCCAGAAGCAAAAAGACAGAGGGTCTCACCAAGGAGTTAGAGGTGCCCCAGCCAGGAGACAGCAGGTCTTGTTCCAGGAGTCAGGTCAGCTTCTATCAGCTTGTCAGGAGAACCCCAATCCACAGGCCAGAGGTGGGCCATGCAGAAGGGCGCCTCAACTAAAGGCTAGAGAGCCAAGTATCCAGGATAGCTGGACAACACAGTCAGAGGGACTGGCAAGAGGAGCAGCGGTGCTGCCAATAAGCGAGATCATGGTTGAAAGATCAGACAGCTGAATGATTGTTATCTAAAGAGGAGCCCGATCCTGGAAGCTATGCCTAAAAAAACAAGCAGAGGACAAAGGACTAGTCACGAGCAATGTCCCTGGTCTTCTGGCACCTGAACTTTCCCCATCACTGACTTTTACTGAGCATATCTAGTTCTCTATGTGGAGGTGGCCATCTTGGTAAAGTCCGCATTTTGCTTTCTCACATCAGAATCTCCAGCAAGGAGAAACAGCGAGCAGCACACTAGTGACATCTCCAAATCTCCCAAGACTAGAAGTCCGTGGCAGTAGAGTCACACACTGCACATATACAGTTATGGGCCCCTCCATTTTTCTCTCTACACCTCGTCCCTGGGCTAATTGATAACCTCCTATGGCTTCCATACCACCTCTATGCTGATGACACCCAGATCTACCTCTCCATTCCCCTGCTCACCCCCTCAATCTCCTCACGTATTAAAAAATCTACCAAGTGACATAATAGTATGGATGTCACACCACTCCCTTAAACTCAATCTTTCCAAAACCGAGCTTGTAATATTTCCTCCTCCCCCCCGATCCCCCACGCACGACTTTACCATTAAGATCAACAGGACAACCATTGGTCTGTCAAGGTCCTACCTTTTCCCAGAGGTTGTGCTGCTCCAGGTGCTGGCATCCATCTTGGGTTTCTGCATAGAACATGGTGGGAGTCTTTTATGCCTTCAGGCCTCTGAGGTCCATCCCCCAGAGCGGTGTGGTTTATTACATATAAGTCTGTTGTCCGCACATGCCCTTCGCATTCGTGTCTTGTGTGTTAGTGTTGCAACAGCTCTGTGTATTCTCTCGTGACTCTCCTGGAATCTGACTCATCTTGTGACTAGACCATTCTCTGCGTTTTCCTTTGATCTGACTTCCCGTTTCTCAACTCGGCCTGTGACCTGTGATTCTTGTCTACTGTTCTGTACCGTTTGTCCCGTTGTTGTCGACCCGGCCTGCCTGACTACGCTATTGTCTGATCTGATTCCTACCAGCTACACGCCATTGGCGGCGACCATTACCGCAGCTGGGGTGTCTCGGGGGCCGCGACCTGGTTCCTGGCTGTGTCAAGTCCATCCCCATCATCAGGGGCCCTGGTGAAAGGCAGCCTGGGACTTAGACTCCGCGCCCTGAGGGACTCCGGTCTGTGGGTGGTGGTTGTCGTCAGTCAGTGCGTGACCCTGCCTCTAGCCCTGCCTGTCCGTTCCACAGCTCCTGCCCTGACATGGTCCTTCTCCTCATGCCAGGGTGCTAGGCATAATCTTAGACTCTGACCTCTCCTTTTGGTCCCAAATCCAATCACTGGCTAAATCCTGCCGCTTCAACCTCCGGAACATTTCCAAAATCTGCTCCTTTCTGAACAATGACACCACAAAACAACTTATCCATGCCGTGGTTATATCCCTCCTTGATTATTGCAACTCTCTCTTCACTGGCCTACTGTTACACAAGTTATCCCCCCTTCAGTCTATTATGAATGCTGCTGCTAGACTCATACACCTTACCAACCGATCAGTGACTGCTGCCCCTCTCTGCCAATCCCTTCACTGGGTTCCACTAAGCCAACATATAAAATTCAAAATACTAACCACAACATACAAAGCCATCCACAACACTATCCCTAGCTACATCACCAACCTCATCTGCAGGTATCATCCAAATCGCCTGCTCCACTCCTCCCAAGACATCTTGCTCTCTAGCTTCCTCGTCACCTCCTCCCACACTCGCCTCCAGGACTTCTCCAGAGCCTCTCCCATCCTCTGGAACTCCCTAACCCAGTATATCTGGTCAGCCCCCACCCTGTCTGCCTTAAGGCAATCTTTGAAAACTCACTTGTTCAGGGAATCCTACCCTACTTCCACTTAAGAACTGTACTTGAATCACCTCCATCAGATCATCCCCCGCAGCTATCACCTTTTGTACCACCTCCCCTTTCTTTAGATTGTAAGCTCCATGAGCAGGGCCCTCCTATTTCTTCTGTACTGAAATGTATTGTAATTGGTCTGTCTCCCTTTATATTGTAAAGTGCTGCGCAAACTATTGGAGCTATATAAATCCTGTATAATAATAATGAGGCTGTATGTATAGAGCACCTAGGTACACGTACATACCAGAAGTGCACTGCTATTTTTCAGGAGGAATGAAGGACATAGGATAGATTTTTCAGGGCTATGCTTTGGCCCAATTAAGATGTCTAGATGTTTCCTATAACACAGCGAATCTTTACTTTTTTTTTAGTTTTGTGCTACTTTTAAAGCAACATGTAGTACAAAAGTATGGTGGCGGTCACAACTGATCTCTTTGCTGTTTGCTTTGCATTGACCTAACATCAGAAGAGCCATTTCAGTGAGCCAAATCCAGCTCAGTCAATTAACATTCATTGCAAGATCAGAAAGCCAAGCACATCCTTCTGCAGTCCCACAGTATTTCTAGAAATGCCATAGTTGCTCAATCTTTCCATTTTTGGCACCAAAAAATGAATTTAATGAACAATTTGGGGAAACTGTGAATGGCAATTATAAACTCAAAAGGTTCATCCAATTTATTGTAAAACGTTTTTTTTTTTTAGTAGGGTTAGATGTCAGATTTTATTGTGGTCTGTGCCCCCATATAAAACTGCCTATTCTGTTTTAGGCAACAGCACGGCAGGAGAAGAGGCGTCTTCTAGATGCGCAGCGTGGGAAGTGCCGTGTGCGGCTGGGCTCCCACCTTGATGAGTGGTGTGCACTAAAGGATCATTTGGGTTTTGCACAGCATGCACAGTTGGCAAAATTCCTTCTGGACAGGTAAGAACAAATTGATTGAAAAAAACAAGAAATTCCTCACACAGTGAGAAATAACTGAGCGAACTCAAGAACTGAACACAAGAATGTGTGACAGATTTGCTATTATAAAGCAGCATTTTCTTTTTTGTAAATGCATACAATAACTAATTTGTATCCCTCATCACCTTCCATCAACATTCAGACTTTGTTGGATGGCATTGGGGTGGATCTCCAACTATTCAAAGTCAACTCTATAGTGTTCACAGAAACGATGAGGGGGGAAAATTAACAAAGAATGGCACAGGCGTAAATCCTGTGCCATTCTTCCTGCTTGGGCCAACTGATAACCTCCCATGGCTTCCAATACCAACTCTATACGGATGACACCCAGATCTATCTCTCCACTCCCCAGCTCACCCCCTCAATCTCCTCACGTATCACAAATCTACTAAGCGACATATCAGCATGGATGTCGCATCACTACCTTAAACTCAATCTTTAAAAAACTGAGCTTGTAATATTTCCTCCTCCCCAATCCCCCACTCATGACTTTACCATTAAGATCAACAGCACAACAACCATTGGTCCTTCCGCTCATGCTAGGGTGCTAGGCGTAATCCTAGACTCTGACTCTCCTCACTTCAGTCTATTATGAATGCTGCTGCTAGACTCATACACCTTACCAACCGATCAGCGACTGCTGCCCCTCTCTGCCAATCCCTCCACTGGCTTCCACTAACCCAGCGTATAAAATTCAAAATACTACCACAGCTTACAAAGCCATCCACAACACTGCCCCTAGCTACATCACCAACCTCATCCACAGATACTGCCCAAATCGCCCTCTCCGCTCCTCTCATGATATCCTCCTCTCTAGCTCCCTCATCACCTCCTCCCACGCTCGCCTCCAGGACTTCTCCAGAGCCTCTCCCATCCTCTGGAACCCCCTACCACAGCATGTCCGGTCAACCCCCACCCTGTCTGCCTTTAGGCGATCTTTGAAAACTCACTTCTTCAGGGAAGCCTACACCACCTCCACCTAAGAACTGTACTTGAATCACCTCCACCAGATCATCCCCCGCAGTTATCACCTTTTGCATCACCTCCCCCTTCCTTTAGATTGTAAGCTCCACGAGCAGGGCCCTCCTATTCCTTCTATACTGAAATGTATTGTAATTGTAAATTCCCTTATATTGTAAAGCGCTGCGCAAACTGTTGGCGCTATATAAATCCTGTATAATAATAATAATTCTTCTAAACTGAGAAAACAGAGCCGATCCTGTCCCTAATTAACAAAGGGAGAACACGCTTATTTCTTAAAGTGGTAGTAAATCTTAAAAAAAAAAAAAAAAAAGGCTTTTGGTCCCCTTGCAATGTAATGACATAATGTGCTAGTATGCACACATACTAGCACATTACAAAAAAACTTACCAGTAAAACAGAACCCTCCAGTGTCACTCTGTCACTGCTGACAGGGTTTCCGGGTTCATCCGGTCTTCTTTCTGGGTTCACCAGGCTCCGGCCGTTTGAATAACTGAGTCGGATGATGTCACTCCTGCATATGCACATGGCAGCAACGATTGCGGCACAGCACTCTCACTGGATGGCATACTCGAGTATGCTGTCCATTGAGAGTACAGTGTACATGCACCAATGATGTCACCGGTTGCTACTCATTGGAGTATCTCCTAAATGATACACATTTAGGAGACATTCATTTTACCTACCGGTAAGCTTTTTTTACAGCTTAGCTGTAGGTAAAAGTTGCAAAGTGGACTTTACTACTGCTTTAACTAGAAGTGATCTGTTCCGTGTTCTATGCTGTGTCTGTGCCAGACATGGCACAGAGAGCAGATGAGCCAGAGTTGCTGAAACAGGTCTGTCTACTTTGTTAATATGGTGCACGCCACTCACACCAGTTTCCTGTGATGTTATAAAGGCACAGAAAGCTTTGTTTTTTCCTCCCCACGAAATATTTCCTTTTTTCTACATCGTCCACATAGCCCAGGCCCCATTCAGACTTATATGTTGCGGCAATGCATTTTAACACATTGCAGTGCCATCCACTTAGAATGGCATTCCAATGCACGATTACAGTATTGGGCAATGTACCCATGCTGCAGCATACCACAACCCCATCTGGCTCAATAAAATTTTGAAAGAACACTGGTGTACTACTGGAAAACGTTTTAATAAACACTTACAAAGAAGAAATGAAGCCCTGAAATACATACAGGGAGCAAAGCTTAAGGGCTTCAGTTTTTCATCTAGACTGCTCTATTGCACAAGTCCACCTGTCAGGAATGGACTTGCCAGTAATGGTGGGACTCACCTGCCTTGTTGGCTGCAGTACCAGGGCTGGCCAGCGGGTGCTCTCAGCAATCAGAGACTCAACCCTGCAGCCAGCCAAACACCTGAAGCTGATTATGCAGGTGTATTTAAGGGATGGCCAGACCTGCAGTCTGTGCCTTGGTGTGTGTTTTTCCTGGGCCCCTGTATCTTGTAACCTGCATTCCTGTTCCTGTCTCTGCCTGACTTGTTGCTGACCCTGCTTGATCCTGACCTCTGCTGACTTCTCCTGTTTTGATCCCTGGCTTGTGACCCTGACCATTCTCTTCGCCTGCTCCTCCTGTACCTACCTGCCCGATAGTTATCGGCCCGGCCTGCCTGATTACGTTGTGCTCTATATGTGTATGTACCTGTGTATCTGTATCAGTTTAGGTTTGGGTTTGTTTCACCTTGTTGTATGTATTTGTGTTAGCTTGGGGTTTGGTGCACTGCGTTTATGTTTGTATTGTTAGTCTTTAATAAATTATATTGTTTATAACTTATCTGAAGCCTGTGTTTCCCTGTTCAGTTCACATACCTCTGGTCATACCCGGAGCCCTGACACCACCCCTCTCCCTTGTGTCAGTAATTTGAGAGAAACTTTGTTTTACAAGGGGATTTTATCTCAAAAATAGGTGAAGGTACTCCCCCCTTCCTATTCACTCCTTGTCTCTGTCCACCTCCATGCACCATCCCTTGGCTCCACCCCTTAGCTACCTCCCATTGCTGTCCCTTTTAGAGAAAACAGAACCAAGAATCCTTTTGTGATGCTTTTAAGTAAATTGTATATACAGGAGTTGGACAAAAATATGGAAAAGGTACATGATTTGCTGGTGTGAAGGTGACGCCATGTTGAAAGCAGAAGCGATGTAACATTCTTTTGTTTTGCTGTGTGATGAGACAACTAGTGTGATGAGACAACTGAGTTAACAGATGGGAAGCCTCACTCTCGTCATTCACTGCCTGCACTGCTAGTAATACAAAGTCCTGTTAGAGCTTACTGAGCTTCAAAGAGGACAAATTGTCGCTTAGCTGGTGCCTCTGTGACTGAGGTTGCCAATTAATTTGTCATATTACGAGCTACAGTATCAAAGGTTATGACCGCGCATACAGTTTCCAGGAAAACGTCGTCTGATAAGTATAAGTGCAGTTGCAATGGTCAACTGACTGAAAGAGACAAAAGGACATTGCGCAGGATCGTGACTCGATAAGGAGACAACTTCTGCAAAATTAACTACAGAGCTCAATCTCAGTCTTCCAAAGCCCGTGTCCACAAAAACTGTGAAGAGGGAACTCCATAAGCAAAACATTCACGGGCGAGCTGCTATTGCCAAACCACTAGTGACCAATATTAATGCTCAGAAGAGAGAGTGGTGTAACACCCATAAATCGTGGACTGTTGATCAATGGAAGACTGTAATATAGACTGATGAATTGAGCTTCACACTGTTCCCAACCACCGGACGTGTTTACATGTGGCAAACTCCATCCCAAGCTTACGGCCAGGACTGTCTTGTGCCAACGGTAAAGTATGGTGGAGGTGTATTTATGGTTTGGGCAGTCATATCTTCGTATTCTGTAGGCCCCATCACCTCCTTGAAAGATACAGTCACTGCCGGAAACTATGTACAAATTTTGGCCGACCATGTGCACCCCAGGTTGCGACATTGTTTACCAAAGACAACGACATTTACCAAGATGATAATGCTCCAATTCACACAGCATCTGCATGCTTGTCAAACCAAGAAGTCTCGCACCTTCCCTGGGCGCTGCAGTCAAAGGGCCTCAATATCATAAAGCCACTATGATCAAATTTGGAGAACAAGCTTTTTCCGCCTCTGGCATCTCTGCAAAAACTGGAACAATTTTTGCATGAAGAGTGGTATCAGATTCCATTATCCACCATCCAAGACTTATATTTGTCAATTCTCTAGAGAATTTAAGCCATCTTGGATGCCAAAGGAGGTCCAAGACCATACTGGGTAACGATTTTGCTTTTTTTAAACCGGTATTACCGTAATTTTATCCACCCCCTGTAATATGGTAATGATCGGAAAAAATACAGTAAAATAGATCCCCTGCAGCCAGCAAAAATAGGTCCCCAGCAACAATAGACCCCCCCCCCCCCCCCAATAGATCTCCCCAGCAACAATAGATCCCCCTGCAACAAAATTCTCCCACAGCAAACATAGATCCACACTGGCAACAATTGACCCCACCAGCAAAAATTGATCTCCCAGCAGCCAGCAACAATAGATCCCTCTCCTAACAATAGACCCCTCCCTCAACAGATACCACCAGCGACAATAAATGCCCCAGCAGCCAGCATCAAAATACCCTCCAGCACACCCCAGCCCCGCTTTGTCATTACATACATCAATGCTGGAGGTGCCACCAGAACTGTGTCAACCCCCCCCTGTTTCTCCTGAAAAAAAATGCCCTGGTCTTAGATGCTTGTATGTTATGCTGTGAAACTTCATCAAACTGAATTAAAAAGGCATGTTAACATTTTTTAAGCTAGTGGTGGTGCTAGAAGTAAAATTAAAAGATACAAATTTGGACGCCGCTAAAATCTAGACATTATGGGGGTTTGATGATGTAGGGAGTCCTCTCCATCATCGTCTCCCTCACAGAGTCTACTTACCTTTACCTAGTGTCTAGTTTTTTTTTTTTTTTTAATGTACATATGTACCACCATCGGTAGGATCCCCTTTTGCAAAGTTAAATTCTGTATGATGGTTCTTGGTAAAACATGCTGTGAATCCCAGTGGCCAGAACCTGATTCCTGCTGCTGGGATTGACATCTGTGTGCAGATAGCTGAGTGCGCACACTGCAATGACAGGCTGTCGGCGGGCATAGAAATTTGTGCCTGTTGGCACAGCCAGTGTTTACCTGTGATGATGGTGGCTGGATTTGCAGCGTGGCAAAACACCTGTGTGAATGATGCCTAAGTATGTGCCACTGAGACAGGCAAAGGCACTGCATCAAGTGCCTGTCAGTACAGGCGTCATAGTATTCTAATTCCTCTGAGCGATTTCTTGCATTTTCTACTTGGTATTACCAACTAATAATAATTTTTTTTCTTTGCAGCTATATATCAACTACCAGTCCTGGGACATCTGGTAAGAGACACTACATTGTTCTGTACCCCCATTTAGAACTGTTAAAGTAATATTACAGGCTCTCTTTTTAAATAACAAGCATGTTATACTTACCTGCTCTGTGCAGTGGTTTTGCACAGAGCAGCCTCGATCCTACTCTTCTTGGGTCCCCTGCTGGTGCTCCTCACCCCTCCCTCCTGCCCAGTGACCCCAGAGCAAGCAGCTTGCTATGGCGGCACCCAAACAGGCTGGCTTCCGAGCCGCTGTCCATTCACACACAGAGCCGTGGCTTGCCCCCGCCCCCTCTCTCACCTCATTGGTTCACTGGCTGTTATTGACAGCAGCAGGAGCCAATGTATCCCGCTGCAGTCTCAGCCAATGAGTAGGGAGAGTCCCTGGAGAGCTGAGGCTCTCGTGCACAGCACTGAATTGTGATGGGTCTCAGAAAAGTATTGGGGGGGATGCTGCACACAGAAGGTTTTTTTTTTCCTTCATGCACAGAATGCATGAACGTAAAAAACCTTAAGCCTTTACAACCACTTTAAATACTTAAGCTGGCCATCAATGGATCAAAATTTGGCCAGTTCAGCAGCGACCAGCTGAATTTCGATCCATCTGTGGCAGTTTCCACTAGATAAAAGCCAATCTAACAATCAAACGGAAATGTTGGGATTTTTCATTCAATCAGCACATGCAGCCATTTGGCTACAGTACTGATCAGTGTATTCTGACAGAGTCCTGCTGTCAGAATACAATAGCACAGCAGGGGGGAATCCTTCATCATCCACCTCAAATGTGTGGAGGGGGGAATCCATTTTTTTTTTCAGTCAGCTGGCATTGTTCTTCTAGGCATTGATAAATCCTTTGACATTTTTTTGTATCCATCTCCTGACTTGTGTCTGTCCACAACTTTATCCCAGAGATCTATTGACAGTGCCTTACCACCTATAGTGGATTGTTTGCTTCAGTTGCACTACGAGGGACTGAAATGCTCCAGGAAAGCTCTTTTCATGTTGTGCTAATCAAAATGACCACAGCCGATCACGGCTGCAAGTCTAATGGCTTTGTGTGCCATTGAGAAGGTGATTAGCTACACCTGATTGACTTTACAAGTCATTTTTAGGAGGGGGGTGATCCTTTTTTTCCAACTCAGTGATTCTGTTTTTTAATTTTTTAAATTGTTTTCTGACATGTTGGTGTTATACAGTTAGTTCCATATATATTTGGATACAGGCACAATTTTAGATTGTTTTTATCAAACTATATTCAAGCTATAGTTATATAATGGATATGGGCTGAAAGTGCACACTCTCAGGTTTAATGTGAGGGTATGTACATCAAAACTGGATGAAGGGTTTAGGAGTTGCAGCTCTTAAGAGTAGCCAATCCCCCCCTTTTTCAAGGGACCAAAAGTAATTGGACAATTGAATCAAAAGCTGTTTCATGGCCAGGTTTGGGCTACTCTTTTGTTATTTATTCATCAATTAAGCAGGTAAAAGGTCTGGAGTTGATTCTAAGTGTGGTATTTGCATTTGGAATCTATTGCTGTGAACCTACATCATGCGTTCAAAGGAGCTGTCCATGCAAGTGAAACAGGCCATTGTTAGGCTTCAATAACAATAAAAATCCATCGGAGAGATAGCAGCAACATTAGGAGTGGCCAAATCAACAGTTTGGTACATTCTGAGGAAAGAAGAACGCACTGGTGAGCTCAGCAACATAAAAAGGCATGGATGTCCACAGAAGACAACAGTGGTGGATGATCACAGGATCCTCTCTATGGTAAAGAAAAAACCATTCACAACATCCAGACAAGTGAAGGACACTCTCCAGGAGGTGGGCGTATTATTGACAAAGTCTACAATCAAGAGAAGACTTCATGAGAGCAAATACAGAGGGTTCACCACAATGTGCAAACCATTCATAAGCCTGAAGGATAGAAAAGCCAGATTAGACTTTGCCAAAAAACATCTAAAAAAGCCAGACCAGTTCTGGAAAAGCATTCTTTGCATGGATGAAACTAAGATTAATCTGTACCAGAATGACGGGAAGAAAAAAGTGTGGAGAAGGCTTGGAACAGCTCATGATGCAAAGAACACAGTCATCTGTATCAGTCATCAGCTCATGATCCAGTCATCGGTAAAACATGGTGGAAGCAGTGTGATGACATGGGCATGCATGTCTTCCAGTGGCACAGGGTCATTGGTGTTTATTGATGATGTGACAGAAGACAGAAGCAGCCGGATGAATTCTGCAGTGTTTAGAGAGATACTGTCAGCCCAGATTCAGCCAAATGCAGCAAAGTTGACTGGACGGTGCTTCACAGTACAGATGGCCAATGATCCAAAACACACTGCAAAACAACCCAGGAGCTTTTGAAGGCAAAGAAGTGTAATATTCTGCAATGGCCGTGTCAGTCACCTGATCTCAACCCAATTGAGCATGCATTTCACTTGCTGAAGGCAAAACTAAAGGCAGAAAGACCTACAAATAAAGAACAACTGAAGACAGCTGCAGTTAGAGCCTGGCAAAGCATCAGAATGGAGGAATCCCAGTCTTTGGTAATGTCCATGGGTTCCAGACTTCAGGCAGTCATTGCCAGTAAAGGATTCTCAACAAAATATTAAAAATGAACATTTTATTTGTGATTATATTCATTTGCCCAATTACTTTTGGTCCCTTGAAAAAGGGGCCATGGCTACTCTTCAGCGCTGTAATTCCTAAACCCTTCCTCCAATTTGGATGTACATATCCTCAAATTAAACCTAAGAGTGTGCACATTCAGCCCATATCCATTATATAACTATAGCTTGAATATGTTTTGGTAATTAATACCTGGAAAAAAAACTAAAATTGTGCCTGTGTCCAAATATATATGGCCCTAACTGTATCTTTCACTGTTATAAGTTGCATGAGTAAATACAGCTGGATAAAACAAAAACTATGTCTGTCTTCATTTCAGGCTGCAAAGCAACAAAATGTGATTATTTTAAAGGGGGGTGATTATTTTCTATACTCACTGTATGTACCCAAGGAATCCTGACTGGAAAACTGATAGGGTGTTGCTAAGAGGTATCTAGCTCAGCCTCTCTCAACCAGGGTGCCTTGACGTTTCTTCAGGGGTGCCTCTGCAAAATGCCTAAACATTGCCCAAAACCTGTATACAAGCCAGCGGATGGATCAAGCTGCCTTTTAGTTACACAAAACCATGGGGTTTTCATTGTGCACCATTACAACCTTCTAGCCACCAGCATCATAAGAACCAATGACGCCATCAGTTGATATGGAGGATGTCGGTGGCCTGCATGGCATCCTTGTTTGACCTTCTCCTGCCCATCCCTGTCAGTGATGCAGGCAAATTAGCTGAGTGATAGATAGAGAGAAACCGAGGGAGAAGAGAAACCTTGGAAGTGTATTTGCTTTGGAAGACTAAATTCCCTTTAACATTGGATGTCCTACATGTGTGGGTGTTGCTGCACTAGGTCAAACTATTAGAATAGTTTTATATTGGATATTTTAGATTGGGGTGCCCTGAGACTGTAACTTTAAAGGGTGCCTCAAGATTGTTCATAACTTTAAAGGGTACCTTGACTGAATAAAAAGGTTGAGAAACACTGGCCTAGCTGTTACTGTTCACTTTAACCTCCCTGGAGGTATTCCCGAGTGTAGCTCGGGGTAAAGTTTCAGTACCACAAGCGGTAACCCAGAGCTACACTCGGGAATACCTTGCAGCGTTGCTCCAGGATCCCTTCTGCAGTTACCTTGTCCTGCGCTCCCACGATGTCCCCCCTGCAGTGTCCCTGGCAATGTCCTCCGGCATCTGTCTTCTCGGTTCCGTTCCCTGCGATGTCAGGATGTACGGGGACGGAACTGGCGGGAAATTTGAAAATTGTAAAAGTGACATTCACTAAAATCACATAGTAAAACATTACTGTATCAAACCATTTCACATACATTTTGTTCCAAGTGCTTTGTCCTGTGCCCTGCCTGCAGTTTTACTGTTCTTTCTGCCTGGAAACTGAGAAACATCCATGGCGTCCAAAAGCGTCCCTTTAGGTCAAAAGCAGTTTTAGACCAGCTACAGAACAGCGATAGTAAATCAGAACCACTTGCAGAATTGAGTAATAATGATTCGTGGGGAAATTTGTCATCAGACACTGAAAACGATTTTGTGACTTTGCTCAGTGATGTGCGAACTTGGCACTCTATTTCAAATTTCAGTGTTTTTGGTTTGATTATATTATTGAATTAAATTTATTATTATTTTTATGATTATTTATTAAATTATAATTTATGATTTCGTGTTTCAAATTTTAACATACCCGGATGTTTACTAGACTCTTGTTCGGACAGATTTCAGTGAGTTATTCCTAAAACTTACCGGCATACAAAATAAAAAAATACATATATCCATGCAAAAAAAGGTACCGCTTTGAACACAACAATATGGACATAATCATATCGCTAGGGAGGCTACCTATCAAAGAAGTGATTTCTCGAATGGTAAGCTCAGAGCTACTGCATCAGGGGGGAGAAAGAGTGCATGTGAGGGGGTTTAAATCAGAGATCGCTGCTGTGATAATGAAGGTGAACAGTAACAGCTAGGTTTTTCTTAGCAATTCCTAGGAGTTTTCCAGTCAGGCTTCATGAGATACACCTATAGCAAGGGCATTATTCAACTTTGGTCAAGGTTGCACGGATTGCTTTTATCTACAGACTTGCCTTATCTGCCTAGACCCTTTTCAGGTAAAACCAAACTATGCCTTTTAAGGGCTCTGGGTGTAGAGATCTAACAAATGCTTGACTGCTTTATTTTATATAAATATTGTCTGAAGACCGCAGCTTCAGAACCCACCTGGATATTTTTGCTGACCCTTGGGGGTTGGAGAACGTGAAGGATTTTTTTTTTTGGCAAACTTGCTTGACTTATGTGCATATATTTTTGGAGCAACCCTGTGTAAAATGACCTATAGTTTATTAAAGTGAAAGCTAGAAGCTAAGGGCACAGATCCTATTTCATATTATATATGAATTTATATATAATTTAATTATTTTTTCACGTTTTCTTTGTGATCTTTATTCATTCCTAATGTGCTCATTTTTTCCAGTTCCAAAAGCGATCGTACTCCTTTCTGTATCTCTCTCATCACTGAAACGTCTGGCTTTCCTGTGTCACCAACATGGCAGAGACTGTCAAACTCCTCCCACCATCTTGTCACCATCACATTCTGGCGAGGCCCCGGAGATGCCAGTATTACTGTGGGGTTGCAAAGAGCACCAGTTTTATTGGAATCCACGTGATGGTATCCAAGAGAAGGAAGCCAGTTTAGCTGATGGCAAAAAGAACCTGAACATCACAGAAAGCTTGTCTGCTGAGACAGATACACAAGAGAAGTATTCAGAGTCAGATTATTTGCTGGGAAAACAAACAAGGGAGCCACAAAGGGAAGAAGAGGATCAGGGTGGATCGGGGACATGCTCCCAGGGAACTGACACAGAGCCCAGCAGTGTAGTGAGTTTATCGGAGAGTGACACAGCATTTGATAGAAGTGAAGAGAATATTGTTGAACAAGTAGATCAATCTAATGGTGAGAAAAGTCTAGATGTCTTGGTGGAGAACATAACCGATGAGAGACAACAGGTAATCATTTCAAATGGGAAGGAGCCAAAGACTACCGAGAGAAGGCAGGGGCAGACACCAAGGATAGATGCAGAAGAGTGCCAAGAAGAGCAAACCACGTTGCCGGCACCCACCATTGAGGAGAGTGAAAAGGCTGAAAGGCTAAGATCAGTCACTCAGGACATTGTGGTTCCTCAAGTGGCAGAGAACTGCTCCATAAACTCAAGGAAGGAACCCCCAGAAACGCTCTCAGGTAACTGCAATCCTAAATCAGTTTTAGATTAGAATTTCGTACTGTAAGGCCACAGTACAGGCAACTAATTGCAGACACTTGCATATAATCACTGTGGCTATTACTTTGACTTATTGACCCTTGGATGCAGACCTGCGAATGATCAGCCCTGACACAGAAGGTTTTTTTCTACTAAAGCTGGAGATTGCAAAATCATGCTCACTTCTGCATAGAAGCCAATCAGCTTCCAGGTTTTATTGCCAAATTTTGTTTGAACAAGCTGAAGTTAGAAGCGGATTGGTTTCTATGCAGAAGTGAGCCTGATTTTGCACTCTCCAGCTTTAGCAAATAAATCCCTTTGTGTTCAGAGCTGGTCACTTGCAGGTAATCACCACATAGCAATTACATGCAAGTAGCTGCAATTACCCATGAGCCAGCAGTCTACCCTTGCTTTCAATGGGGTTGCCTCCCACTGCTAATTGCTGGGACCCCCTGCTGGGGTTCTTGCAGGAACATGCTATTGGGCCAAACGCAGGTGTGAATGTGGCCTTAATTGCTGGTCAGAAAAGTAGCAATAGCTTATGTGTTGTATGGCAGTTAGTAAACTATGAAACAATGTGACAGTTCCTACCACTGGTACTAAGGTGCAGAAGTTGATGACATTAAGGAGATCCCAGAAACATCCTGGCCCTTGTGGAGCATTCAATAAACATTCCTACTAAACAAAGTGTGCTGTGGTATAGTACATTCCTCTGGACACAGCCCCCCCACCATGCAGTGATCGCATTCCATTCTGGCTATGCTGTCTGGCAGCAGTGTCTGGATCACAAGACTATTCAAAGAGAATTGTAAATCCTCTGAGAGGTAAGACTTCAGGATTGTACAAAATGCTATTCCATAGGTGCAGCTCAGATGCAGCATTTGTAATACAGGCATTAAAGTAGTTGTAAACCTCTGACATAAAACATGAACAAAACATGAAATATAGACAGTATAGTGACAGGAACGGTACCAGCTGATTGGCAAAAGGGCTAACATGGTTCCAATATTTAAACTACAGGTCTGTCAGTCTAACATCAATAGTATGTAAACTATTGGAGGGGATGATAAGGGCCATATCCAAGAATTTGCTGATTAAAACCAAATCATTAGTAGTAATCTGCATGATTTCCGAAAGGTCATTCTTGCCAAAACAGTCTGTTAACTTTCTACGAGGAACTGAGTTATCATCTAGATAAGGGGAGGCTAGTTGTCACAAAACGGATGGGAGACTGAAATGACGAGGTCAGCCTCACTTGTGTCACTAGTCCTGACCCCACTGGATTAGGAACAGAGGGAGTCTAGGACCCAGGGGAACAAGAGTGCCAGTAGTTGTTGTTTGCAGCTCTTGCTGATGAAAACCTTGGAAGGCTGATGAACCTCTGATCTTGGCACAGTAGTAGTAGGCAGAGCAGGTTTTGCAGATTGCCAGGCATGCACCAGAGCAAGGCAGGTAGTGAGGACAAGAGACAGGAGCAATGTCATGGAATAGCCAGGGTCATCAACAGTCGGGCAGCACGGTACAGAATCAGAAGGAAAAGCCAAGGTCAGGAGCAGAGCCGAAGTCAGGATCCAGTATCAGGAGAGCAATCAGAGTTAGGTGAGGAACAAGCCGGGTCAGCAACAAAGGAATCCTACAGGAACAAGCAGGACACGGGGGAGCTGAAGACCAGTCAGCACTGAACATGAGCAGAGACACTTCTTAAATAGGCCGTCTGGTGCCCATCTTCACCATCTTCACCATGCGCGATCGCGCATTTCCGGTCACGATTCGTCTTGCCAGAAATCAATTACACTAGTAGATGTGATATATCTCGATTTATCAAAAGCATTCGATACAGTCCCTCATAAACACTTAATTTACAAATGAAGGTCTGTAGGCATGGACCACAGGGTTTGTACATGGATAGAAAACTGGTTACAGGGGTGCATCCAGAGGGTGGAGATAAAATAGCGTATACTCAGTCTGGTCAGAGTGGTAAGTGGTTCTGTACTGTTTCTGTACTGTTTCTGTTTAATGTATTCATAATGATATAGAGCAGGGGTGTCAAACTCCATTTCATTGTGGGTCGCATCAGTGTTCTGGTTGCCCTCAAAGGGCCGGTTGTATCTGTAAGACTAGGTGTCCAGACCACCCCACCCTTCCTTACATCAGATGCCAAGAGTCCTCCATCCTCCCTTGCATCACAGTGCTGCAGGAGAGGTGCGAGGGCCACATGAAATAGTTTGGTGGGCTGGATTCGGCCCGGGGGCATTGTGTTTGACATGTGATATAGAGGTTGGAATACATAGTGTAATCTCAGTGTCTGCTGATGATACAAAGCTAAGCAGGGAAATAACTTTATATCCCTCTATAGTGTTTGCTTGTCTCAATCCAGAGCACTAAGTGTCAATTCTCTTTGCTGCCTTGTTCCTCTATTTGCATGAGTCACATCTGACAGGTTTTCCTGATACCAAGAACCAAAAAGGTGACAGGAGAGGGAGCACCAGTATACAGCCTGTGATTGACAGCATCAGCTCTATTCCTGTGTGCTTTGTGAAAGGGGGTGTGTCCCTTCCCTCCAAATTGCTCTCACTGAGCTCTCCAGAATGTAAATTCAGCTCCCCACCCCCTGCTTTCTGAAAGCTTAGCCAAGCTGTATAAAGTCTGCACTTTGAACAGCTATAGAGAAGAGAGGCTACAGTTAAACAGGTACAACTTATATCGAAGGATTTTGTTTAATCTCTGTGTATTACCTAAAATTTGTCACTTTACTGAGTATATGCAAGAGTTTACAACCACTTTAAGGATTCGTTTACACCAGCAGTGGCCTTTTTAAAATAAACTTTATTGAAATTTTATAAAGTACCTTTTCATTTGGTTCAATTTTTTTTTTTCAGTGTACTCCATTGCAGTGCGGTGAACCAGTCAGGCATTTTGCTTGCCTTACAGTGGGATTGTGCTGGAATAGTCGCCCAGTACAGTCCTACCACACCTGGTGTGAATGTACACATAAATAATACAAGGTGTTTTTTTCCCTTATTGGACATTCCGTGCTTGTGGGGTCAATAGATAGAACTAAGCAAAATTTTTTGCTCAGAAGTACAAGTATTCTGGCATTTGCACTCACCAATCTGTCACTTCTCCTTAGGTCGGAGCAGCAGACATCAGCGAGCCAGTGTCCAGCAGGCAGCTTTACCCGTTGCATGTAGACGATCCCCTCGGGGTAGTAAGGGGTCCCGCAGGAAAGCAGAGAGCAAGGAGCAAGTATCTTACTCCCCAGCACAGTGTACAGTGCCCTGCAAGACTCTTATTGAGGAAAAAGGTAAGACCCAGCACCCGTAGTGATATCTGTCAATCAAAATTAGTAGGCTTAATGAATGAACCAAAGTACATTAAAGCAGAACTCCACCAAATACATTGCCCAGCATGTCAAAACATAAAAAGAAGCTCTTGAGGCAATACTCACCTCCTCTATGGAGATGTCCCCCTGAAGGCTTACTGCTCTGAGGTCCAGTGCAGCTCTTCTTCCAGGCTGAATGATGCCCAATGTCATTCATCCCATTTCCTGTGAGCCCTGGACATCAAGGACACACACTGCAGGGGGTGAGTCGTCAAGTCATCCTGGGCTCACAGGAGAATGCCGTGCTACAAGGCACCAACTTCTGTAGCATTCAGGACCTGCACACTACTGAAGGAAGCTGAAGATGAAGAGTGGACTGAAGACCACTGTGGAAAATGTTATGCATACTGATTATATTTTATTTAAGACTGCTGGTGGGGAGGTGCTCTCTGAAGAGTTGGTTCTGGCCAGCTCAGTAGAATGCTTTAAAAAAGGCCTGGATTATTTCCTAAATGCACATAATATAACTGGATACTGACACTTATTGGTAAAGTTGATGCAGGGATCTGATAGCCTCTTGGGGGATCAGGAAGGATTTTTTTCCCTGCTTTATTGTTTGTTTTTTTTTTGCCTTCCTCTGGCTCAAATGTGGTTATAGGATTGTATAGTTGTTTTTTTTTTTACCCTTTTATTGGTTGAACTAGATAGACTTGTGTCTTTTTTCAACCAGACTAACTATGTAACTATACACCAGGAAATAGAATTAAGCAGGGGTGGACTGACCATTTGGAAACTTGGGCACTGCCCAAGGGCCCGGGGTCAGTAGGGGGCCCCATGAGATGCCCCTGGTACCTTTTTCATAGGCTTTTTTTTGAGTTTGGGCAAGGACACAGGGGCCCTATGATCCCCTATTGCCCGGGGGTCCCATGAGTTGTCAGTCTGCCCCTGGAATTAAGTAAATAAAATAACATTCCTTAGTTTGTCCTTTTTGCTCTTTGTGCTGTTCTGTCTCAAAAAAATTGGTAGCTGTGGTCCTGACTTCTGTTCTAAATTGGCTGCAGACATTTGTGCCACTGCAGGATAAGATGATATAGGGGTTGATTTACTAAAGGCAATTATACTAAGTGCAATAGACCATATTAAATGACAAAAAATACGGGTGGGCCCCGGTGATTTTTTTTTCCTATCCCAGAGTTCTTCTTTAACATTAAAAAGCATTACAAAAAGTGACACATAACCCCTGAAATCAGGCAGAAGAGTGTAGTGAATTTCATTCTGCCAATTCCCAAAGCATTTCAACTGATCTCCACAGTCTTCATCAGGGGGTAACAGGGGTATTTAGAGTCAACCAGAATGTTCTCTGGGAAGCAGTGTCCTCCAAAATTACCAAGGCCACATGTCTCCACAGCCATGCCCACAAGGGGTCACTGTAATTGACCGCAAGATTTCCCAGCCTGCAAGCTCCCACAGCCAAAATCAGTAGATTCTTGAACATCTAGATAAGGAGGGACCAGTGTATGGCTCGCAAATGCAAAGGATATTAAAGCATGAGTTCAGGCTTCATACACAACAGGTCTCCCCAAACTGGACCGATCAGAGCAAGGCTAAATGAGGCAAAACTTCACTTTGCAAAGAATACCCAATCACATGCCAGGAAAATAAAAAAAATAGCATTTTTGCTTGCACATGATTGAATGATGGAAGTCATCAGAGCTTTGCTCATTTACTAAGATCTGGAGCAACTGCACTTGCAAAGTGCACAGTCTATTTGCGTTTAGTAAGTCAACCCCATAGACATGACTTCCACCCTGGAGGCCCCTCTGTCTGAAAACTGCTCTAACACTTGGAATGATCAAGATGAAAATAAAACCAGTACCAATAAAGAAGAGATTTTTTTAAGACACCTTTGTTCTTGCTTCTACAGAACACACAGTTGGCTTAGGTCCTGATACAGAAGAAGACGAGATTTGTCCTATAGAAGAGTCTATTGTAGAAGAAGTTGTTGGACCAAATGTGTCAGCAGAGGAATTGGACAGGTAAGACACATGAGGAAGCAACTTTAAGGGTCTGTCAAAAAAAAAAAACATCACTAGATGCAGGACCCTTTTGTATTGGCTGCAACACATATGGAGAAATTAACTGCAGTGACTTGAACACTGAAGTCCCCTAGAAACAGAAGACCCATTAAGAGAGTTAAAGGATAAGCTCATCTTTAGGGAAACAAATAACAAATACTCACATTTGTGCAGAACAAAATGTGCATTTATAATTTTGTTCCCCCAGGAGCCTGCAAAGCATTGCACCCACAATCAGTGCAATGTCATGATCCTGCAGAAACTTCAAAAAGGAACAGCAGAGGGCACATCTAAGTGCCGGTAAAACTCACATTTGTTGATAAAAACGATATTTGGCAACTTGTATTTGGTAAGGAGTAAAGCTCCTGTCATAGGAACTTTTATCCACTGAGGGCTGTCATCCAGACCACAACAGCACCTAGCAGAGGAAATCCAGTCCAGAAACTCTGCTTCCAAAGAACAATTAATACTTAGGGCCAGGGGCGGACTGACAACTCATGGGGCCCCTGGGCAATAGGGGATCATGGGGCCCCTGTGTCCTTGCCCAAACTCAAAAAAGTCTATGAAAAAGGTACAAGGGGCATCTCATGGGGCAGTGCCTGAGTTTTCAAATGGTCAGTCCGCCCCTGCTCAGGGCCTATTCACATTGCCGCCTGAGTATTTACTGGCCTTTGGAAGCAGAGTTTCTGGGCTGGATTACCTCTGCTATGTTCTGTTGTGGTCGCAATGACAGCCCCTGGTGGCTAAAGTTCATATGACAGGAGCTTTACTCCTTCCCAAATGTGAGTTGCCAATTGTTTTTATCAATATAGCATGGGCAGCACAGTGGTTAGCACTTCTGCCTGGCAGTACTGGGGTCATTGGTTTGAATCCCAACCATGGCAGTACTTGCACGAAGTTTGCATGTTTTCCCTGTGCCTGTGTGGGTTTCCTCTGGATACTCCGGTTTCCTCCCCCAAACTCCAAAGATATGCTAGTAGGTTAATTTGATCCTAAGTTGGCCCTAGTATGTGTACGTATGAATGTGCGTTAGGGATCTTTGACTGTATGCCCCTTGAGGGTTAGGAACTGATGTCAATATATATGTAAACCGCTGCATAAATTGACGGCGTTATATAAGTACCTGTAATAAATAAATGTGAGCTTTTGACTGCACTTAGATGTGCCCTCTGATGTTCCTTTCCTGCCTTAGAGATTCCATCAGTCTCTTGAGGAGCTGCACCGAGTTCTGGAAGTCAGCTGAGTTAGCCCCTGATGTGCCACAAACGTACTTTATGAACTCGCTGCTGAACATCCAATTTAGAGGCGTTACTGTTTGACAGCTTGCACCACAATATAGTTTGTTTATCTACATCCTGCAGACACTTCCTCCAGCTTTCTTGCCGGTACCTCTGTACGGGCTTTCTGTTTGAAAACTGGATGAAGTGTCAATGGACTATTAAGTGTGCTCATCAGTGGCCATAGTGGCAGATGTGACTCGACATTTCTTCATTCATAGACCGCTGTGAGTGAAGGAATGAATGACGTGGCTGTGTGGGAGGAGCCAATGCCATAGAGTCTTAGAACCCCTGCCAGGTTTGTATTGCAGTCTGTGTCCCCTCTCTATTTTACCATTGCCATTGGGACTGAAACAGGGCCGGATCTAGCCTATCTGATGTGGGGGTGAAGTAAAAAATGTCAGGGAGGCAGAGGATGGTAGGTCAGCAGGGCAGAGGACAGGGGTCACTGCTGGCAGGGCAGAGGACAGGGGTCACTGCTGGCAGGGCAGAGGACAGGGGTCACTGCTGGCAGGGCAGAGGACAGGGGTCACTGCTGGCAGGGCAGAGGACAGGGGTCACTGCTGGCAGGGCAGAGGACAGGGGTCACTGCTGGCAGGGCAGAGGACAGGGGTCACTGCTGGCAGAGAAGAGGACAGGGGCACAGCTCCTTCCCCAATCCCTGCACTGCACACAGCCTGGGCACAGGCAGCAGAGCTCCTCCTCCAAACAACACATATCTGAGATTAATATAGTGTCAGTCAAGGACAATAGAGTGCCAGTCTAGGGCAGTATAATGTCAAAATAGGGTGGTACAGTATTGGATTAGGGTGGTATTGTGTCAATTTTAGGGCAGCATTAGGGTAGTATAGTGGCTGGTTAAGGCAGTATAGTGGCAGGTTAGGGTTGACTTTGGGGTGGCACAACTAAAATCTGAAGGTTGCATAGCCCACCCCAGCACCCCCCTAGATCCGGCCATGGACTGAAAGTGAAGAAAAATCTAAAAAAGGGGAATCCCTTCAATTTGGCCACTTTAGGCAAGTGTGTTAGGAGGATTTCCCTCACTTTGGTGAGATTTCCGGTCACTTCTTGTTTTGTCTTGAGGCAGAAAGTGAAAAAAACACATCTTCCTAATGGGAGTCATAGGTTTAACGATGTCATACTCTATCCAAAACAAAATTAAACGTTTTGGGTTTAGATGTACAGTACTTGAAGTAATAAATATAAGAAAATGTTAGAACATTTGGCTGTGCCTACCGGTCAGGGTGGACAGATTAGATACCGAAAAAAATAGGATTTGTTGCTGTGGGCAACAGAGTTTCGTTCTTTGTAGACACTTTCCCTTTATAAGCATCATGTTTGGACTTGCTTCTCACAGTCTGGCTACTACTGAAGAGCAGCCGATGCTGGAAGCAGATCAGAGCCCATCAGCTGAATCGATATGGAAGGCAGACGATGGGAGTCTTCCAGTGCAGGCACCAGCAAAAGAACCACCTTCAACTGAGAGTGGAGATCAGCAGGGCAGCCATAGCAAGACTCACAAGGTGAACCGGTGAGTAAACATTACAGCACGATCATACAACAGCTGTACCAATAGAGCACTCCTGAATGTGGACCCAAACAGACATTTTGTTTAATAAAGCACGTTTATCATAAACAACGTTTTTAATGCCTAAGGCTGCATTCACACTTGGCCACTTTGAAAATGCAGGCAGAATTGCATGTTTTTTGCCCGCGTTTTTCAGAAACACAGCAAAATTTCTCAATGCACTTGAGGTGCCATTATTTCCCAATGGCACCTGATCGCAGTGCAATTTTGCAGCGTTTTTCATGTGACAAAACACACATCATCCTCAAACTTGCCTGATTCAGTGCCAAAATCTGATACACATGCTTGTTTGGAGCGTTTGTCGCACATAGGGGTAGCTCATTGCATAAATATGTGAAAAAGACGCACAAAAATGTTCGGGAATGCATGTTCCCGCTGGGATAAAAGTAATACCTTGCTAACCTCCCACCTTTTTAAATCCCCTTTTTCACTTTCTTGTAGCTGCAATCTCATGATTATCCAGGGCCGGGTCCTTTTTCTCTTTGTTTACTTGCTTTTAGGGTAATTATGCATGTTATTTACCTGTAAAAGCCTTAAAACATTAGTTCACATTTTATTGGCTAAAGACCGTGGTTAGCTGATGTCACAGAGCCTCAGAGATTCTAGGCCCTGGAAGGATCCCAACGATAAATGTCGGGATCCACCCAGATGTCTGACAACTCACTTATCCTCTCTAGAGGACCAGCAGAGAACAATGACTGACAATCTGAGCGGCCCTAGAACAGTCAAGTGATTGCTCAGTTCTCAGGCTTAAAACTGTCCACAAAAGCTTGCCAGTGTCCAATCACCTGAGGGTACAAGCAATAACCCATGCTGTATGAGTAAGTTGCCTGTGTCCTGTACTGTACTCCAAGATATGGAATTTACAAGTAAGTCAAAATTTCTCTTTTTTGAAGTAGAAGGGCCTTTCAACTCACTAACTACCCTCCCTGGAGGTATTCCCGAGTGTAGCTTGGGGTAAAGTATCAGCACCACAAGCGGTAACCCCGAGCTACACTCGGGAATACCGTGCAGCGTTGCCCCGGGATCTCTTCTTCACTTACCTTGTCCTGCGCTCCCGCGATGTCCCTCCTGCAGTGTCCGCTGTAATGTCCTCCGGCCGATGCCGGCATCTGTCTTCCGGGTTCCGTTCCCTGCGACGTTGGGACGTAACCGGTGGGAAATTTAAAAATATGAAAAGTGACATTCACTAAATACACTAAAATCACATAATAAAACATTACTGTATCAAACCATTTCACATACATTTTGTCCCCAGTGCTGTGTCCTGTGCCCTGCCTGCATTTTTACTGTTCTTTCTGCCTGGAAACTGAGAAATGTCCATGGTGTCCAAAAAGCGTCCCTTTAGGTCAAAAGCGGTTTTAGACCAGCTGGAGAACAGCGATAGTAAATTAGACCCACTTGCAGAATTAAGTGATAATGATTCGTGGGGAAATTTGTCATCAGACACTGAAAACGATTTTGCGACTAAGCTCAGTGATGTGCAAACTTGGCGCTATATTTCAGATTTCAGTGTTTTTGGTTTGATTATATTATTGAATTAAATTTTATTATTATATTATTATTTTTATGATTATTTATTAAATTATAATTTGTGATTTTCGTTTTTCAAATTTTAACATACCCGGGATGTTTACTAGACTCTTGTTCAGACAGATTTTCAGTGAGTTATTCCTAAAAATTACAGGCCTACAATTAAAAAAAAAAAACATATTTCCATGCAAAAAAAATGTACCGCTTTGAGCACAGAAATACTGACATAATCAGACCGCTAGGAAGGCTACTTCGCAGACTATGCAGTGGCAGAGGCACAGCTATGCAAACCAAGTACTGGACGCCCACACATATTTTGTGTTCGTGCCCTGCCCCACATTTAATAATTTTAGCTTCATGTTCTTTACAGGCTCAAGGCTGATGTGGATGAAGAATTGGCTCAGATAGGTAAAAAGAGGATCAGGCAAGTGATCAGTATTGCATTTATCAAATTATAATTACTGTAACAATCACTAGGTAAATATAAGCGTATGTTCACTATTTAATATCTTTGGACAGCTCTTGTGTATGGTTACATATATTTTATTAAGTTTACGTTTACCTTTAACCATTTGAGCTCCGAAAGATAAAAAAAAAAATTCCAGTAAGTGTATATTGATTGGTTTGCGTGAAAGTTATAGTGCCTACAACTATGGTGTGTATATATACTGAATTATTATTATTTTTTTTTATACTACTAATGGCAGCGATCAGCCATTTATAATGGGACTGCGGGAGTGCAGCGGGCAATCTGATACGGACATCAATAGTAACACTAATACAGTGATCAGTGATCATATTATACACTGTCACTGTACTAATGACACTGGCTGGAAAGGAGTTAACATATAGGGTGATCAAGGGGTTAAATATGTGCCTAACAATGTGTAATGTGTGTGCAGTGTGCTGCTTTTACTAAATGATCTCTAAGGTTCTCATCTCTTAGAAACGGGCAGATCGCTCCCTCTGTACAGAGCTTTGAGCTGTGATTGTATACATCCGATCAGCAGGTCCCAGCCATGAATCATTGACCAGGACTTGCTGACAGGGTCCCGCTGTGGGGGTTGCGCATGTGCTCAAAACCCGGCAGTAGGCAGCGATGTACCCATGCATCGCTTTGCCTACAGCGGCCGCCCATCTGCAGTACATTGCAGTCAGGCAGTCATAAAGTGGTTAAAGTTGCACAATTTTGGAATTGAAAATGAAGTAGACCACAGGTGCAATATCAGGCTCCTGCAGACACTGCCTATGGATTTCTGCCTGTACTTCTGTACGGGCTTTCTGTTTGAAAGCTGTTAACCACTTGCCTACCAGGCACTTATACCCCTTCCTTACCAGGCCAATTTTCAGCTTTCAGCGCTGCCGCACTTTGATTGACAATTGCGCCGTCATGCAACATTGTACCCATATGAAATTTTGATCATTTTTTTCTCACAAATAGAGCTTTCTTTTGGTGGTATTTAATCGCCACTGGGCGCTTTACTTTTTGCGCTATAAATTAAAAAAAGTGCAAAAAATTTGAAAAAAAAGAAAAAGTTTATTTGTTTCTTTTATAAAATTTTTCAAACAGGTATTTTTTCTTCTTCACTGATTTGCGTTGATGAGGCGGCACTGATGGGCACTGATAGGCGGCACTGATGGGCACTGATAGGCAGCACTAAAGGGCACTGATAGGCAGTACTAATGAGGTGGCACGGATAGGCGGCACTGATAGACAGCACTAATTAGGGGTCACGGATAGGCGGCACTGATATGCAGCACTGATAGGTGACACTGATGATGGGTACTGATAGACGGCACTGACTGGCATCACTTCTGGGCACTGACTGGCGGCACTGACTGGCACAACCCCTGGGCACTGACTGGTGGCACTGACTGGCAGCACTGCTGGGCTGCACTGGTGGGCGGCACTGGTGGGCACCACTGGTGGGTGGGCACAGGTGGGTGGCACTGGTGGGCACAGGTGGGTGGCACTGGTGGGCACAGGTGGGTGGGCACAGGTGGGTGGCACTTCTGGGCACATGTAGGTGGCACTTCTGGGCACAGGTAGGTGGCACTGCAGAGTGGCACAGGTGGGGGCACTGCTGGGCACAGGTGGGGGGGCACTGCTGGGCACAGGTGGGGGGGCACTGCTGGGCACAGGTGGGCGGGGCTAGTGGGCGCACTGCTGGGAGGAACTTGCGGGGGTCACTGCTGGGCACCGATCATCAGGGCACTGATCATCAGTGCCCTGATGATCGGTGCCGATCCCCGCTCTGACAACTGCCGGTTCTCGGCAGTACTTTCCTCACGATCTGACAGCGTGAGGAAAGTGCAGCCGAGAACCGGCACTTGCATTTTCCTGTGATCAGCGTGTCATTGGACACCGCTGATCACGTGGTAAAAGGCCGGTGGGATCGGCCTTTCACCACATCTCGTGATCAGCTGTGTCCGTAGGACACAGCGATCACGGAGATCGCCGGGTGCGCGCCCCCTGGGGCGCGCAGGAGAGCGCGTTCTGGGAGGACGTCATATGACGTCCACCCAGAACTAGCCGGCCGCGGTGCAGCCGTCATTCGGCTATGCGCGGTCGGCAAGTGGTTAATGAACTACAGCCATGGTGGAAGTTGGGACTTGTAGTTCATTCATACACAGATTACTTTGAAGAACCACCACCCGCTGGGTTGGGGGGGGGACTAGTCCATAGTAACATTTTACACATTAAATACAGGTGTAACATATTACTAAGGTGAACTTTAATAAAGGAAGAGTGGTCTTAAGAAGGCTATACATGGGTCGAATTCTGAATGATTTTTCGATCGAAAATCGAAAACATTGTTCGTTCTGTAATCTGATGGTGCCACCAATGATTTTGAAAATCTGTTGTTTTTCACAAATTTTCCAGCATGCCCGATAAACGAAATGAGAGGAACCACGAAAATCAGCCAGTGCCATTGCCCCACTAACAGAATGAAAATCAGCCGACTATTCTTAGGTCCGATTTTCAAACGAAAAATTGTTCAAAAATCGACCCATGTATGGCCGGCTTTATAGTTTAAAAACAAAATCACAGGTGTTCTGCTTTAGGGTAAATTGGATGAACCTTATGGTTTTAGCTCTTTTGCCAGAGTTTACTGGATAACACATTATTGGCTGACTGAATGGTCTCACTTGATGCCTCAAACTGCTCCTTAAGCAGTGTAGCTCTTTGGACGTACGTAGTACACATCCAAAGAGTGAACCTTTAATCGCAAGCTGATGGCAGCTTGTGCAGGTTTTGTTTAGATGGCTTCCTGGTTGAAAGATCAATTTCACAGAGCCACCCAATGCTAATGGGGTTTATTAACCCCTTGTGATAGCAATCAAGTAAAAAAATACAATAAAAGAGAAAAGCTTTAAAAAATAAAATTATAAAATATATCTAAAAATGTTTTTTAAAAATTGCCATAATCCCCCGTTCCCCTGCACACCTGCACAAATGCAAGCCCAGGGTGTGCATATGTATGTAAACTGCACTGCGGTCATTAGCGTGAGAACAATAATTCTTTCACAAGAGATCCTTATTAACTCTAAACTGATGAGCTGTAAAGGCTTTTAAAGTGTCACCTATAGTAATTGTTGGTATAGTAGTTATTGGGGATATCGCAGGTGCATGCAATTTTAAGACATGGAATGTTTGGTATATATTTTTACTCGATGCAACTCATATTTTAAATTTTAACCAAAAATGAGTATTATATTGTGTGTTTTTTTTTTTCACTAAAATTTTTTTATTATATTTTTTTTTTCAGAAAATTTGTGTTTAATAAACGATTGCACAAATATCATGTGAAATAAATATCTGCAACTTTCACCTTTTTATTCTAGAGGTCCTCTGCTTTCAGAAAATATATAATGTCCTGAGGGTTTAAGTAATTTGATTGGCAAAAATTAAGATTTTTACATGTATGTGAAAAATATAAAATAGCTCTGGAACTGAACTGGTTAAATAGGGAATAAACTCCTTGTTGATGGACTTGTAATGATCCACAAATACCTTCTTTATGAGATGAAAGTGTTGTATTTTGCTGTAGCAGGGCTGAACAAATTCCAAGCACCAGGTCGCCATGGCGACTGGAAATTGCATCCTGGCGCCAGGGCTACTCTATCTCCCCATGTGGACCCCCCCCCCCGAGTGCAATGGTCAGGCTGTCTGGCAATTGAGGCGGTGGCTTTACAGCCTGCTGGAGTGGGATACAGTGCTTGTTTGGGGAAACCGGCGCCACCCTCTGGTGGGCGGGGCTGTGATGAGCACTTTGTGCCTGACATTCTCTAACTGAGGGCTTCCCCTTGCTTACGCTCACTGTCTGCCCGCCCCCGACATCTCCTTCCCAGTTTGACAGCTGGGTGCTGGGACTGCAGTTGCGGGCACCAGATTCCACTGGTGAGTGGACAGGGAGTGTGGGGCAGCTTGCTATGGCTTCAGTTCCTTTTATCCACCCCCTCCCCCACTAAGAGAGAAACACAGGTTTGAGTTGGGTAACAGAACAGATTCAACCTGATTATCCATGCAGCCCCATTAGTGCCGCCTATCAGTGCTGCCTGTCAGTGCTTCCTCATCAGTGCAGCCTAATCAGTGCCTACTCCTCAGTGCCATCTATTAGTGCCCATTAGTGATTATCAGTGCTGCCTCATCAGTCATCAGTGCCACATCAGTGCCACCTAATCAGTGCCTCCTCATCAGTGCCACATATCAATGCAGCCTCACCAGTACCACCTATTAGTGTCCATCAGTGCTGCATATCAATGCAACCTCATAAGTGCTGCCTATTAGTGCCCATCAGTGCCACCTATTGGTACCTCCTCATCAGTGCCCATCAGGGATGTCAATCTGTGCTCATCAGTGCAGCCTCATTAGAGCACATCAGTAAAGGAGAAAAATTACCTGATTGCAAAATTTTGTAACAGAAACGAAACATTTTTTTGTTCATTTTCAGTCTTTTTTTGTTTTGCACCAGGTGTGAGCAATTCCTATTGCCTGATGCCCCAGACATGCAGTTCCGGGCATCGGGCAGCTGATTTAAAAAACTCTCCTAACTTTTTTAGCTGGCACCTAGATTCAAATCAAAATTGTCAGGCCCTGTGCTGTAGTATATACAAACTGTCCCTAGGTGGTACTGTAGTGCCTTCAAATTTCCCCAGGCACCATGGTTGGCTTGAAGGCCACTTAATGTAATTTATTTTTATTATATAGCATTCATAAGTTTAGTTGTGCTTTCCTGAGTTCATAGACCATTCACATTGATTTGTGCCCCTACAGGAGTTTAAAATCTGTTGTCACTACAGTGGTCATGCAGACACGTACATTACATCCAGCCTAGATAGTCAAGTAGGGAAGCGATAGAACCAATGCCAGTTTTTTTGTTTGTGTACCCAATGGAGATAGTCACCCTGATAGACTGAAAACAAGGAAAATCCAAAATTCTGAGTCACTGGAACAGGAAATCTTCCAGTAGAGACACTTGTTCTGGTGACAGCAGTCTAAAAAGGGGTTCTCCTTAAATTTTTAGAGATTTCCCCTTATGTTCTGTTGTGTCTATGGGAGAGGAAGTAAAGTTAATTCTTTCCAACAGGACACACACAGTAAAAACAAAAATAACAGGGCTTTTAACCATTTTCTATTCTATCCATAATAAAATGCTGGCAAGGCATCAGTGGGTGAGAGTGGAGAATATCCTGGGGGAATTCATTGTATTGTAGAATGTGCTGCCCTGCCCATGTGCACCTTTCCATTGGTTAGTTATAAACTGAACTGATGGGCTGCCATTTTTTCTTTGCTCCATGAGATGAACCCAGGACCCCGCTGAAGCAGAGAAAAAATACTAACCACAAATTTGATCTGACATCTCCATTTTCTTTACCAACTTTACACATGCTTCCATTTTAATATTTGATTAATTCATAACGGAGTCTCAAGTATCATTCTAGAAGTTGAAGAGATCATCTCCTGGGCTTCCAATCTTGCTACAGAGAGATCTGTAAGAGGTTTTGCAAGGGAAATCCTGTGAACTTTGCTGGCTTTCCAGGAGTGGTACACTATTAATCCAGCTCTGCCCTGTCTCTCCAGAACAATGAAACTGGTACCACTTCAGGCAGGCTTGTGGCTTCACCACACTGGTCATGGCTGTGGCTGTACAATTTCCTTCCTCCACCCGAGAATTAGGATTTGCAAGAAAAGACAGCTGCACCTCCACCAAATCTTTTTTTTTTTTTTTTTTTTTTTTTTTTTTTTTTTCTCAACAAACTTTATTCCACAAGTAAAATGCATAACACAAGCTGCCAGACCCTACTCACTAAAGCATTTCACCACAGAAGGGCTTAATCATAGTTGTTATCATTTAAAGTGTTACTAAACCCCGGACTCTTCATTCACGATATCTGGTCTCCTACAGTACACAAAACATGGAAATGCAATTATTTAATAAATATAAACTGCTAAATCTATTTTCTCATCAGCAGTATACAGCTGTCTTGTGACTTCTATCAGTGTCCGGCTGAGCACTGGTTAAGGCTTGTAGGGAGGAGTATTTACTCTGCTTTGACTGTCCTATGAGGGTGCATGACCCCTGACCCTCGACAGTGTTGATTGGCTCTGTGCTGATCACAGGCAACCCCCCCCTTCCCCAAAAGAAAAAATAACTCTAGCAATACAAATACCAAATTGAGCATGTGCAACGTGCCTCCTATGGCTCTGTACTATCAGCAGATGGATTGGGGACAGTGGAAGAAGGGGAGGATTAGAGAATACAGGATCAAACAGCCTTTTTGCATAATGTGTAGAATTAACCCCTTAGGTTCTACAGTGAGCATAACAAGCATGCTTTACTGCATAAAATGTATATTATATAGGGTGCACTTGTTGGAGCCCAACCTCTGTAGCTGTATGATAAAGGTGCCAGATGGATATCAGGGATGGATGGATGGATGGGAGCAGTAACACTGAGGCAGCTCTTCTTAGAGTGGAAGCAAGGCTCTAATGCAGTAACAAGAAAAAAAAGAGGAAGGCGCCTCCTAAGTGCAGTATTGACAATTTATTTAGTAAACAATGGATAAATTGCACTTACAAGATAAATGGTTAAAAAGACTCATCGTGTGATGTAATAAGATCCAGGTGGGACATCCAGCCGTCCAGCAGCAAACTCTGTCTATAGGATCAGGAAGTAGAATCCAGGAGGAACCTGTGCATCAAAATGAAGCTTGGAGAGCAGAGTCGGATGTAGGAGGTGAAGGGGGCGGTAATGCATTTTGGAGAATGCTCAATAAGCTCCTTCTTCAGACCTGAGGCGCCTTCCTTTCTTTTTCATGCTTTACTGCATGTACAGACTGTTTTTTACTGTTGTGGGTTTAGTAATGCTTGAAGGTAAAATTTTTGAAAGGAGGAGCAGGGTTGTTGGGAAGTGTCATGTTATTCATTGAACACGCGGAATAAAGATTTTTTTAAAAAAAATAAGAATTTGGCAGAGGTGCAGCTTTCTGGCACTGAAAATCTGCGGTGGCCCACTGCAGCAACCAGTCACTGCAATAGTGATCTGTTGTTTGCTGATAACAAAAGGCTCTGCTACCTGCTAAATACCATAGCACATTGACTCTGCTTTCACTAATACTTTCTCTCAGTGCAAGTCTATTATGCCAACCATGTATGGATTGAAATTCCCCAATTCAGCAGGGACCGGCCAAATATCGTTCCATGTGTGGGCACCTTGGTTGCACAGAAATCAATCTACCAATAGACGTCTATATAATCAGTCTGTTGGGTTTTTCCCAATTAATTAGTGCCGCTGGCTATAGCGGGCAGCACTGATCCATTGTATTCTGATGTTTCCCTACCGTCAGAACTCAATAGCAGAGCGGGGAGGATTCTTCGATCCACATTGAATGCCTTATTCGGGTCTGGCAGTTTGAAGACATTGCACTCTGTGTGTCTGAGATTATATTACAGCAGGGTTTGATCAGGAAACTTGACCAACTCTGTGTGATATATAGATAGCCACAAGAATAACTCAGAAAACTTGCACATGTACACTGTAGCTTCTCTTAAAGGGGTCTTCTCTCCCCCCTTATTTCAGTATGTAACAGAGAGCTTTTGTATTTGCAGGAAGGACACCATGACAGAGCTGCTGATGTGTGAATATGAGGACTGCGGGAAGATTTTTTCTAAACGTCAATATCTGAATGTAAGTATGATCAGGAGCAGCAGGATGAGCACTGTCTGAAAGCAGAAGAACACATGGGTCACTGACAGCAACCTATGAAGTGGCAGAAGCTTTGGCAAAATGCTAGCCCAGTTCTAGCAAAACTCCAGCATGGCTCTAGCAGTGCCTTAGCACAGCTACAGTGCAGCAGGTATTGGAACATATGTTGCAGGGTGACTTGCCAGATATGTGTCTGGCTTGGCGAACATGTCCCTAACAATGGTGGTTCCCATATCAAGGTTACAGGCCTATTGACCCTCAGCAAGGCATTGTGTTATGCAGGCAGAGAGGTGGGGAAGGAAGATGAGGTGGGCTCCCAAATTTCATTCAGGTAGGGAGGACCCCCTGCATAGTGCGCTGTATAATGACTCTACTAGGGATCAGCTTAGCTCTGAACCCCTACCCTTATCTGGTATTTCCATTGTTTCAGGGACATAATCCTCCACTTTTGTGTCTAGGTTGGAATTTTCTGGTTTGTGGGACCAGCTTTCAGGGCCTCACTGGTAAGATGCAAACATGAGTACTCTCCTTCCCCTCCTCACACTTTTACTGGTGGGGGAAGGAGTTCTTGGGGGAACTTCCTCAGGAGGAGGAGGAAGCCATTGAGAATTGGGAATCTTCTTTGTATGAGTCCTTTCAGGAGGAGTCTCGAGGTAAAAAAAAAAAAAAAGACTAACGGTATGGACTCACGCAACCCTTTTAAATTAAAAAGAAAAAACTATCCGTATTCTATAACAAACCATGAACTACATAGACAAAAAGTAAAGATTAACAAAAATGTATTAGTGAAATGATACATAATCCAACACCCAATTTAAAACACCATGGTATTGTGGTATTGGTCCAGTCCCCCTTCCATGGATGTGCTGTTACCTGTTAGTGAAGCCCGTGTTGCCTATGATACCAGAATGTTTTTTCAGGTCTTGCCCTTGGAATTTTGGACTATTCTTACAAATCTTTTGAACAGAAATTGGGATCGTTTGGATATACTGTTTATTGAATTCATGGTTAAACGGCTATGGAACATATATATCACGTATATATCAAAAAAATTAAAGGAACACTTTTTAATCAGAGTATAGCATCAAGTCAGTTAAATTCCTGGGATATTGATCTGGTCAGTTAAGTAGCAGAGGGGGTTGTTTATCAGTTTCAGCTGCTTTGGTGCACTAAATGGGCAACAATGAGACGATCCCCAAAACAGGAATGGTTTTGCTGGTGGAGGCCACTGACATTTTTTTCTCTACTCAGCTTTTCTGACTGTTTTGCACTAGTTTTGCATTTGGCTGGGGTCAGTGTCACTACTGGTAGCATGAGGCATTACCTGGACCCTACAGAGGTTGTACAGGCAGTACATCAATACGTGACATTGCCAGAAGGTAGCAGAGTCTCAAGAGCATGGAGGAGAGTCCAGGAGACAGGCAGTTACTCTAGGAGAGCTGGACAGGATCGTAGAAGGTTCTTAGCCTATCAGCAGGACTGGAATTTGCTCCTTTGTGCAAGGAGGAACAGGATGAACACTGCCAGAGCCCTACAAAATTACCTCCAGCAGGCCACTGGTGTGAATGTTTCTGACCAAACAATCAGAAATAGATTTCATGAGGGTAGCCCGAGGGCCCGACATCATCTAGTGGGCCCTGTACTCACTGCCTGACACCATAGAGCTCAATTGGAATTTGCTATTAAACACCAGAATTGGCAGGTCCAAAACTGGCGCTTTGTGCATTTCACAGATGAGAACGCATTCACCCTGAGCACATGTGAGAGACATGAAAGGGTCTGGAGAAGCCATGAAGAACGTTATGCTTCCTGTAACATCGTTCAGCATGACTATTTTGGTGGTGGGTCAGTGATGGTCTGGGGAGGCATATCTATGGAGGGACACACAGACCTCTACAGGCTAGACCAATGGCACCCTGACTGCTAATAGGTATTGGGATGAAATCCTTGGAAACCTTGTCAGACCCTACGCTGGTGCAGAGGGTCCTGGGTTATTCCTGGTGCACGACAATGCCTGGCCTCATATGGTGAGTGTATGCAAGCAGTTCCTAGAGGATGAAGGAATTGATACCATTGAATGGCCCCATGCTCGCCGGACCTTAAACCAATAGAACACCTCTGGGATATCATATTTCAGTCCATCCGACACCACCAGGTTGCACCTTAGACTGTCCAGGAGTTCAGTGATGCCCTGGTCCAGATCTGGGAGGAAATACCAAAGGACACTATCTGTCATCTCATTAGGAGCATGCCAAACATTGTCAAGCATGCATACAAGCACGTGGGGGCCATACAAACTACTGAGTACCATTTTGAGTTGCTGCAATGAAATTTCAGCAAAATGGACTAGTGGATCACCCCTGCCAGTTTGTGGCATTGGCGTTCAGTCTTTGCATGGCTTCCAGAATGTTTACCAAAGTGTTTTATTCTGTTCTGGGTTTGATGAGGACTTGAGGTATTCCCATTGTGGGGTGCCTGGAAGGCCTGCATATTAGAGAACAATTGACTCAGCGACTGACATCGAGGGGTTTATTTACTAAAGCTGGAGAGTCCAAAATCAGACTCCCTTCTGCATAGAAACCAATCAGCTTCCAGGTTTCATTGCCAAAGCTTCATTGAACAAGCTGAGGTTAGAAGCTGATTGGTTTCTATGCAGAAGGGAGTCTGATTTTGGACTCTCCAGCTTTAGTAAATAAACCCCCAAATGTCCACCAGATGGTACATCTCCTGGAAAGGTTCTGTTGGGTGCTGAACCTTTAGAAGTTGTCTCTGGTTCAACACAAATCCTGGAGTTTTTGGGCTTCACCCTAGATACATAAGAAAAAAGTGCTGCTTTTGCAAGCAAATGCCTGCCTCTTCAACCCAAGGTGGAGTCTCTGAGGTTGCTGGAAAACCCCTTAACTTGTTTCTGCATTAGGTAGCTGGGGAAGATCAGAGCCACCTTTTGATGCTGTCCCATATTCCCAGTTTCACTTCAGGAAAATTGGCAGGCATACTTTTTCAGCTATCAACAGCTGAACTTGAGTGATAGGGTCTGTCATTCAGGGGTGTTCATGGATATTTGTCTGTAGCAGGGGATCCTGGATGTGGATCAAGGTTCAAAAACAAGCTGGACAGATTTGTGTCCCAGGCTATTGATCCTCAGATGTATACGGTTGATTTGCCCTTCCCTGTGCTCTTGTTGTCACGCGGTTTGATCTTCAGTCTTGCTTTTCGGTTGCTGGTTTGATGACATGGCTTTTGAAGCACAAGTCCTGAGGGATAGGGGGGGTTTCTGACTTGGTGATTCCTACCCTTCTCAGGAAAAAAAAAGTCAAGTTCAGGAAGGTATACCATTGCACTGTAGATGGAAGGCTTATTTTGCCTGGTGCAAGGCTTGTAAAGTTCACATTTTGGCTTTTCTCCAGTCTGGTGTGGAGATGTCTCTGGCCTTAAGTACCATCAAGAGGCAGATTTCAGCCTTGGCAGTTCTGTTTCAAATACCAATCGTGTTTCATATCCTAGCAAAAACCCTCATGCAGGGTGTCACATAGGATTCTTCAGCTCGTGTTGCCCCCTTTGTCTCCAAAGGACCTTAATTTGCTGTTGTGGGGCCTTGATTTGGTGTTTTACAGACTTCTCTGTTTGAACCTCTCTGGGAGATTCTCTTTCTACGCATTGTTTTTATGGTTGCCATGAATTTGGCTTGGAGGGTCTCAGGGTTGGCAGCAATCTCCTGCAAGAAACCTTTCCTGATTCTTCACCAGGTAAGGTGTTGGTGAGACCCCATTTCTCCTTTTTTATCTAAGGTGGTTTTCTCGCTCCACCTGAATCAGGACGTTGCATTGCTTTCCTTTTGTCCTAGTCTTAAGCATCCTGAGCAGGGGCAGACTGACCATTTGGAAACTCGGGCACTGCCCGAGGGCCCGGGGTCAGTAGGGGGCCCCATGAGATGCCCCTGGTACCTTTTTCATAGGCTTTTTTCAGTTTGGGCAAGGACACAGGGGCCCCATGATCCCCTATTGCCCGGGGGCCCCATGAGTTGTCAGTCCGCCCCTGATCCTGAGGAGAAGGTGCTTTATTCTTTGGATATTGTTCAAGCTGTTTGAGTTTATCCAAAGTCTACAGCTTTTTTTCCCAACAGTCTGATTCCCTGTTTGTTCTACCTCACAAGGGTCAGGCTGCTTCTTGCTCTGCCATTTCCAAGTGGATGTGTCAGCTCATTTCCCAGGCCTATGGCATCAATGAATTGGTTCCTCCTTTCCTAGTCAAGGTCTATTCCACCAGGAGTGACAGTGTTTCCTGGCATTTCTGGCAGGCGGGCCTCTGACGTCATATACTTCCCAGAATAGAGAAGGGAGATCAGTGTCATTTAAGGCTCCATGCACACTGACTTAAAAATCGCTGCTTTTACAGGAGTTTTGTGTGTTGCCTGTAGAAGCAGCTCAATTTTATCCTATGTGTCCATGCTCATTAGGACGATTAGAGGCATATTTTGAACTCAATGTTTAGAGGCAGAAAAAAAACCCTTATGGTTTGCGTATTTGATTGGAGTTTTCTGGCAGAAAAAAACATTAAACATGTTTACAAATATGCTCTATATAAGCATTTTTTTTCGCGAAGGGAACTGGCATTTTTAAAGCCCAGTGTGCATGGAGCCTTAGATCTGAGTGCAGAGAATAGACACACCCCTCCTCTACATATAGTGCCTTGAAAAAGTATTCATTCCCCTTGACATTTTCCACATTTTGTCATGTTACAATCAAAAAAGTAAACCTATTTTATTGGGATTTGATGTGACAGATCAACACAAAGTGGCACATAATTGTGAAGTGGAAGAAAAATTATAAATGGTTTTCAAAATTTTTTACAAATCAATATCTTAAAGGTGTGGCATGCATTTGTATTCAGCCCCTTTTTATTCTGATACCCCTAGCTAAAATCTAGTAGAACCAATTGCCTTCAGAAGTCACCTAATTAGTAAATAGAGTCCACCGGTGTGTAATTTAATCTCAGTATAAATACAGCTGTTCTGTGAAGCCCTCAGAAGTTTGTTAGAGAACATTAGGGTTAGGTTATAAAAAAAAAAAATCCCAAGCTTTAAACATCTCATGGAGCACTGTTCAATCCATCATCTGACTGTCCACCATGGCAAGAAGAGCATTAATCAGAGAAGCAGCCAAGAGGCCCATGGTAACTCTGGAGGAGCCGGGCAAGCAGAGCATTAATCAGAGAAGCAGCCAAGAGGCCCATGGTAACTCTGGAGGAGCTGCAGAGATCTACAGCCCAGGTGGGAGAATCTGTCCACAGGACAACTATTAGTTGTTCACTCCACAAATCTGGCCTTTATCGAAGAGTGGCTGGAAAAAAGCCATTGTTGAAAGAAAACCATAAAATGTCCTGTTTGCAGTTTGTGAGAAGCCGTTTGGGGGACACAGCAAACATGTGGAAGAAGGTGCTCTGGTCAGGTGAGACCAAAAGAGTTGATGGGAAGATGGATTGAGCCAAATACAAGGCAATCTTAGAATTAAACCTGTTAGAGTCTGCAAAAGACTTGAGACGGGTGGAGGTTCACCTTCCAGCAGGACAACGACCTTAAATATCCAGCGAGAGCTACAATGGAGTGGTTTAGATCAAAAGCATATTCATGTGTTAGAATGGCCCAGTCACAGTCCAGACCAAAATCCAATGGAGAATCTGTGTCAAGACTTGAAAATTGCTGTTCACAGACACTCTCCATCCAATCTGACAGAGCTTGAGTGATTCTGCAAAGAAGAATGGGCAGAAATGTCTCTATCTAGATGTGCAAAGCTGGTGGAGCTGTCCCCAAAAAGACTTGCAGCTGTAATTGTAGCAAAAGGTGGTTCTACAAAGTATTGACTCTGGGGGGCTGAATACAAATCCACGCCACACTTTTTTGAGATATTTATTTGTAAAATATTTTGAAAACCATTTTATCATTCTCCTTCCACTTCACAATTATGCGCTGCTTTGTGTTCTATCACATAAAATACACTTACATTTTTAGTTGTAACATGACAAAATGTGGAAAATTGCAAGGGGTATGAACACTTTTTCAAGGGAAACCAGGACAGCTGAGGCTGTTAATCACCTGCTGTGTGCTGGAAGTGGGGGTGGGGCCATCTGTTTAGACTGTCTGGTATTGACATAACCTGTTCGAAGTGACTCCTGATGATAGTAGAGGAAGGAGACAGCCATGATAAATGACACTCAATGCTTTAAATAGAGGCAAGTACACATTATAAGGCTAGGTTCACATATGTGCGAGTGGTGCCGTTGCGGATCCACACAAAAATCCGTGCAGCCACACCACCCACACAGAAGAATTCCCGACACGTAGGCGGGTGCCATTAATTCTAATGACACGCTGCCCATAGTGGAAATCGCAACCGCACTGGGAACCGAGGTTCCCATGCGGGCTGTGGTTTCCAAAGAAGTGACTTCTCTGCGTGTCCCGGGGCACGGGAGTCCATTCAAGTGAATGGGCTCTCGTGCCCACGCAAAACGCGGCCTACACAGCTGCATATATTTGAACCAGGGGTAAAAGGATATGCTTTTTCATTTTTCATTTTAGAGGTTTACAAGCACTTCCATTTAGGTTGAAGTGTTTTTCAGTGTAGAGTTAGCTGAAACAAATTTACAGTCAGTAGTATCTTTTTGCACAGCACTGCGCCAGTGGAAGACTTGCTAATTACTATGTCTAAGATATGCATGTGTTTGAAATGAGAGAAAATATATCTTAATTCTACAGTACAGAACACACATTTCATTTATTAAAGCTGAATTCCAGATATTACAAATACCAAAAAAATGCATTTGTTTAGTTAAATATCTAAAAAATCATTACATGTATTGTAAATGCCACTAGTTTAGCTACTTGAATTTGTGATGCTAAACAGAAGGTTACAAAAGGCTGAAATCAAGTTAAAGACTAGCAGAGAGTACTTGGGGCCAGTCAGGTGTCCTGTAATCACATGCACTGATGGGGAGAGAGCAGATGCTTACCTGAAGCAGAGAAAAGTCAGGTCATCAGGCTGGCTGCGCAGTCCTGCAAGACTTTGTAAATCTTACATACATACACACCCATTGGCCTGTAAAACAGTCCCCTTATGTGTATTTGATCTATGCATTCAGCTGTTTGCATGGAATTGCTCCACATTAAATACATGCAAATGGTTTTCCATTACAGTTACCTTACGTTTGTAAATTTTACGATCTGTGTTCTGTGATGCTGAGTTGCTTTTCTCCATTGTTCCTTTTTCAGTATCACCAGAAGTATCAGCACATGAATCAGCGCACCTTCCGCTGCTTGGTGTCTGACTGTGGGAAGAGCTTCAACTTTAAAAAGCACCTCAAAGAGCATGAAAAGAGACACAGTGGTAATCTTGCATTTTCATCATCACTGCATGTTATGAAAACTGGTCGCACCATGAGTGCAACACGAAGGCACCATTGCTGACCCATTTTAAAAAATGCTATTTGCCTGACTGTTATGGTGACCCTTCTGCTTCTAAGTTCCCAAAGTACCTGACCTGGAACAAATATGCAAATAAGGACTTCAAACTACTTTCTGAATTTCTTGATCTAAATACTTTTTAAGGTCAGTGACTCAGAAACCATTAAAGATGTGTCAGCAAAACAACTGCCACTTTCAGAAGGAACTTCACAATGGCAGTCACTGCTTTTCTCTCATAATTACTTTAACCACTTCCCGTCTGGCCGTTGTAAACGCCCTCCCCACACCCTGCTTGTGCGCACTCCCTGGGAGCGCGCAGCACCTCGATCCGGTCTCCGCTGTGTCCTCCGGACACAGTGGAACACCGATCGTCGGAGGGGACTTCTGTGCGTGGTCCCGATCATGTGATCACTGATTGGCCAATCAGTGATCATAAGCAGATTAGTAAACAAGATGTCACTTCTGACATCATTGCTTACTACGTGTGAAATCTGTGAATGATCACAGAGGTCACATGGTACAAGGCTATTCACAACAGCCTTGTACCATGTGACAAGCTGTGACCAATCACAGCTCTCACAGTAGTTCTCAATGGCTGCAAGAATGCAGCTAGAGAGGAGAAATGATTGCTTTTACAGCCTTTATGGGTGTAAAAGCAATCGGTGGTTATAAACTAATTTGGGTTATTTTTTTTTTTACTAAAAATATAACGGAATAAATTTTGGTCAAGATTTATGATGAAATACTATTTATTTTCAAATTTATAAGAAAAACACTTTTTTTCAACATTTTTGGACTTTTTCATTTACATAGCAAAAAAAAATAAAAATCCCAGTGGTGAATAAATAACACTAAAATAAAGCTTTATCTGTCTCAAAAAATACTAAAAATTTCATATGGGTACAGTGTTGCATGACCGTGCAATTGTCAGTTAAAGTGTGATAGCGCTGAAAGCTGAAAATTGGCCTGGACGGGAAGGGGGTAAAAGTGTACGGACTGGAAGTGGTTAAAGTAGTCCTGGGAGATTATGAAAAATGCATAAGAAGAGGTTAAAGCTGATCTCCATGTTTTTTCTCACTTTAAATAATTAATTTGAACCAACTACTTCTTTCACAAAGTTCTGCACTGGTTTCAGCTACATACAGTGCTGGGTTCTGGCTGTGAGACAGAGACTTCCCATCCCACACTTGGAACGATATAAGAGTCGGTCTGGGCTGTACTCAGCCATTCATAGGCAGTTTTGTATTCTGTGAATGAATACACCGCTTCCTCTGATTGGCCGAGTTGGAGAACATGATGTCATCAGCCCGCCTCTCTGCCTCAGAGGGCAAAACATTTAGTAGAGCTACAGATATAGGCAGCAATGGAATGACTCTGCATGTTTCCCATGCACAGAACTCATACGTTGAAGTTTACACAAAGATATGGTCCCCCAGTGTGACTGCTTATTGGGCTTGCAATGTCACATGCTTCACCATAATCAGAAGTACCACATATTGCTTTCAGCTATCAGAGCTGAACAGAGCAGTAGGGGAGCTAAGGAAATGTGAATGTGCTGCTGGGAAGAGAAGAACTAAAGCAGCCCAGTATGCAATGTGAATCCTTGTTTTTGAAATAATGTTGTGCATTAAAAAACCCTTTAAAGGCTAACACCTTTAAGACAATGTTACATTCATTTTTAGTCCTCATGCACACGGGACATTTTTACAGTGGCTGTTTTTGACTTTTGACAATTTTTTCTACAGCCAGTAAACCCCCCAGTATGTTATCCTATGTTCTCATGCACACATAGACTGGAATCAAACTTTTTTGGCTGGAGAAAAAACCCAGGACTAGTGGGGCTCTAGAGGAGTTTTTTAGCTGTAAAAACGCTCTAACGCTGAAAAATGTGGAAAAACACAGCAAACCGGCGTTTTTAGACAAAAACAACGCTAAAAAACGCAAACGTGGGAAAACGCCGCTAATCACGGCAAAACGCTAATGCAAAAAGACAAAAAAAAAGCTGAAAATCTTAAGTTTTTTTTAATGTGACTTTACACAGCTAACGTTACTAGCGTTATCAAAACGTCCAGTTGGAGCCTTACCCCTGGTTCAGATATATGTGGCCGTGTGGGCCGTGTTTTGCATGGCCACGAGAGCCCATTCATTTGAATGGACTCCCGTGACCGTGACATGCAGGGAAGACGTCCCTGCACTTCTTTGGAAAATGCAGCCCAAACGGGAACTTCTGTTCCCAGTACAGTTGCGTTTTCTAGTGCAGGCAGCATGCCATTAGAACTAATGGCACCCGCCCACGGGTCCGCATTTCTCTGTGCACGGATTTTCATGTGGATCTGCAGTGGCACCACCCGCACAGATGTGAACCTAGCATTATGCAGGGCATAGATGGGTCAAAAATCGGCTGATTTTTCGGTCGAAAAAAAAAAAATCGGCCGATTTTCGCACAGCCAATTTTGTCGATCGGCCGATTTTCATGGCAATTATGGGCAAATCGGCCGATCTTTTTACTGATAAAAAATCTGCGCATGAGACGTGACCTGCAAGAGGAAGAAGAATTCCAGTCCGCTATTATATTTGACATGAAAAAGTATTGCGGTTGCAACAATGTATCTATTTGTATCTGAATAAAACCATCTGTATCCGAAATGGATACAAATAGATACAATGTTGCAAGCGCAATACTTTTTAATGTCAAATATATTAGCAGAGCTCTCTGCAGGGACAAAAGTAATTAAATGCCAGCTGTGACGGGACGAAAATCGGGCAATTTTTTTTTTTACTGTTGGTGGTAACGTCGGCCTATTGAATGACCGACTTTTTTTTTTTTTCTTTTAAACGCCCGGTTTTTCACTCATTTATGGCCTGCATAAGAGTGTAACATCACCCCATTGGGAGGTTCATCTCCCTTGCAGCTGCTGTCAGGTTTGCAGTCTGTGCGGCTGTGCACAGATCTATGAATAACTAAATTACAACTCCCATCTCCCAATTTCCTTTAGATTACCTTCAGCTATGTAGTGCAAGGGCCTGCCTGATTGCCTATAAACTGAAAGTGTTTAGATTTGACCTCCTATTATATGGCTTTAGTAAATTTAAAGGAAAATTATACAAGAAAATTGTATAGTGCATGGCCAGCCTTAGCTTCTCATTGAGCAGTAATCCACTGCATCTGAAATTTAACCTTTGATACAAATAAGTTTTCTGATAAGTAGGCGTTTGCTATCATCTGTTTTCTGGCACTTAGAACATGGATCATGAGTGTAAAATTGGTGTTTGGAAATCCCAGTGGGTTTCTGATTAAGGAATGTAAGGTTTCATAGAAAGTGCCTTCTGCAAGAGAGTGCTCAAGATCTTGTATACTTGCAACCACAATTTGTGGGCCACAACAAAAGTCCATCAGTTGTGGAGAAACATGTCCAAGTCTGAATGAGCACAAAAACAAGAAAAGGAAGCACCAGATGTGCTAGCCTAAAAGGAACCATATACTACTGAAGCAATACCTTTATAGTAAGAAAGAACATGAAGCACTGCCCAAAGCACTACAAAGCCATCAGCTCAAAACACAGAATGGGTGCAAAAATTTCATCCAGGCTAGCAGAAGCAAATCAAAAGAGGGCAACTACACTCCTCTGACGTGTCGGTGTGTGGCGTTTCCACGTTCTGTCTTCCGAATACCTTCTAGTCTAAATTGCTGAAACATTGTGTGAGCAAGACTTGTGTGACATTCCAAATGTAATCGTAATTTTCCTGTTCTAATCTCATATTTAAAAGTTGTTTCTATTTGCAAACACAATTTAGAGGTTTTGGAGTATATTTGGCTTAAAGAGTACTACCCTGGTTTACACTGATGCGGTGCAGAATTCGCAGCGGTTTCTGTACCAATTCCGCACCGCATCAGAATCGTACCCCGTTCATGCAAACCGTTGCGGGTGTGTATGTTAAGTTAATACCCCAAAATCGGTTCACGAAACGCGGTGCGATGTGCAGAATCGGATCGCATAGGTGTGAATACCCATGTGATCCGATTCTAGTGCAGACCAAAAAAAGGTCCTGCACCTTTTTGGTGCAGGTGCTGTGTGATTAGACAAAATGTACGGCTCCAATCGCACTGCACACAAATCGCATGTGATTTGCAGAGGAATGCGGTGCGGTTCCTGTGCGAATTACATGCGATATACCACACCGCATATATGTGAACCTGGGCTAAAGGAGGGAAATCGGCCCTGGGGAATGCAGATCATTTTGATTCCATTTGAATGGCGTAAGGGTTAAACCTTGAACTGTGGATGAAACATAATGTTTAATCTGCAAACTGAGAAATAATTCATAATAAGGCAAAAGGGTTTTTTTTTTTAGAAATCAGGGAAGGACTTTATGCCTTTTGGGGCAAGTAGGGTAAAGAAGCAGGTCACTTTTGAGTCAATCCATCACCTAAAAGCATTAGGTCATTCATATCTTGGAGCAAATGAAGAAATTCATGCAGACTCCACCTCCGCAACATCTCCAAAATACGCACGTTCCTAACTCCAGAAACCACAAAGCAACTCATTCACTCCATTATCATATCACGACTTGACTACTGTAACTCCCTCCTCGCCAGCCTACCCCAACACAGGCTATCCCCGCTTCAGTCTATCCTGAATTCTGCGGCCAGAGTCATTCACCTTACTAACCGCTCCGTATCCGCCACCCCCCTCTGCCAATCCCTCCACTGGCTTCCGATTGCCCAATGCATAAAATTCAAAATACTAGCATTGATGTACAAAGCTGTTCATAACACTGCCCCAAACTACATCGCCGACCTGATATCCATCTACCACCCAAAACGCACTCTCCGCTCCTCACAAGACCTCCTACTCTCCAGTTCCCTGGTCTTCTCCTCCCATGCCCGTCTCCAGGACTTCTCCAGGGCTACCCCCATCCTCTGGAACTCACTACCCAAATCCATCAGACTGTCACCTACCCTCCTCACCTTTAGGCGCACCCTGAAAACCCATCTCTTCAGAGAAGCCTAACCCGCCCTCACCTAACTGCTGATCTCCTCTGCTCTCCCCACCACTCTATCCCCCACAGCTATTTCCTCCTGTACCACTATCCCCTCCCTCCTAGATTGTAAGCTTCAAGGAGCAGGGCCCTCGAACCCCTCGTGTATGTTATTGTATTGCTACTGTACTGTCTCATGTATTGTCTCCCATTGAAATATAAAGCACCGAGCAAACTGTTGGCGCTATATAAATATTGTGTAATAATAATAATAATAATAATTGCAAATAATAGTTAATAAGGGTAAGTGGAGAAAGTAGGTCTCCTGAATACTTAAAATCGTCCCTAATCCATAGAGAGCATCATGTTATAGGATTGAAAAGATTCTTAGATTGTAAATTCTAAGGAGCAGGGCCCTCCTATCCCTCTTGTATTGAACTGTATTGTTGCTGTATTGTCTTCCTTTATATTGTAAAGCACTGAGCAAACTATTGGCACTATATAAATCCTGTATAATAATAATAAAAGGGAAGTCCTGTCCAGTAAATGTAGCCATAATAAATTGTGTACAGATACAGGATCACAACCACTGCCTTGCAAGATTGGGATTGATGTAAATGCTGAATATTTCACAAAAGCTAAAGGGGAATTATAATGCCCGGTTCACACTAGTGCGGGCCGTGTTCACTTGAATAGGTTGCTGTACCCGTGCTTCAGGCAAGGAAAAGGTGCATGCACCTTTTCTAAAATGCATCTGCAGGGAAACTGCAGTCTTTTTTGACCATGTGGTTTCCATGTGGTTCCTGCACCCACGTTTGCGCTGTGGGATGAGATGCGTGGAGAGACACAATGCAGGTGTAGGGTTGCCACCTCATTCCTTTAAACTGAACAAATATTAATTACACAGGTTTTTAGGCTAATTTAATGCAAATAAGGCACTTCCAGGGGATTTTAATTTTCACCTTAATCAGCCACAAAACCTGTGTAATTAATATGTGTTTGGTTTTAATGGGATGAGGTGAACCAGGTGCGATTCTTGCACCCGCAATCAGCCTGCATCCTGCGTGCAGTGTGAACAAGGCCTAAAGCTTCTAGATCCAAGAAAAAATATTAGGGCTGAAGCCCCATTTTGTAAAATGTGAAAGATATAGGGCCAGGAGTTGAATGCTTTTTGTATGTCTAATCAGAAATACATAAGAGGAATAATTTTGTCTTTTGGAGGCTTCAGTGGGAAGGGCCAGTTTGTGTATGTTTCCACTAACTTATCTGGTGGGCATAAATCCAGCCTGGTTTTGATGAATTAGTCCCCCTTGATTTATTCCTTTCTGACCCATATTTGATTAAATATATGAGGGGCAGCTTTGGAGGATCCTAAGGCTACGTTCACACTAGCGTTGTGTGCAGGCGGCAGAGAGGCATTTGGGAAGCGTTTTTACTGCTTCCCAAACGCCTCGGACAATTCTGCACATTGCAGCACATGGTGCTGTTCTAACGAGAGCGTTAGCGTCACGGCAAAACGGATGCCTCTGGTCGAGTCAGGAGGCATTGAAGCCTCCTATTCTAGTCTATGGTGCCACTCCGCAAATGCCCGGCCAGCATTTGCGGAGCGGTAACACCATTTAAACTTTATTATAGGCGTTTGTGGGGCATTTTTAACGCTTGGCAAATGCCTAGCAACCGCAGCTAAACCGCGCATGCAGCGTTTGCAGAACGTTTGCCGAGTGTTAAAAGATGATCCGCAAATGCCGGATCAATGCTTGCCAAACGCTATAGGGGAGTTTGGCAAGCGTTGGTAAAACAGTCAAGTGTGAACGAGCCCTAAAATCTTAAAAAAAATCCCCTATTCTCTAGCGACTAACCATTAAAGACTTTGCTTCCTCTTTTTTTCTCTATTTTGGCTATGCAGGATGACAGTCATGCCCACTTATTAGGACTAGTTGAACAGAAATACAAATCATTTGACAAGTAAACCAGTTCAGGAAAACCCTTGTTGTTCATGTAATACAAAGTCTATGCAACAGGACAATCTCCTGGTGATTTGGCCAACAGCTGTTATTCTCCAGGTGAGATACTGATTGCTCTATCTGACTTATGCAGGCCATACTTGGGTCGAATTTCCTTAGAAAATCGGAAAATGTGTGCGTTTTGTAATCTGATGGCGCCACCATTGATTTCAAAATTCAACCAACCAAGCCTTCAATTTCATCTCATGTTGCTACAGAAAAGAATTTTCGTGGCCAAGAATTTTTCTTTTCTTTCCAGGTCACAGCTCATGTTCTTCTCTTTTTCATTTACGTTTCCTGCATTATTCTCCCATCATTGATTTGAAATTCGTTAATCACTCAAATTTGATGGTCACAGGAAAATCGTCCGTTTCTGTGACCCACTATTGGTGCAAAATTCGAACAAAAATTCTTAGAAAAGATTTTCGAAAGAAAATTATTTTGGAATTCGACCCATGTATGGATGGCTTTACAGATAAGCAGCTAAATTGTACCATTAACATGAAAATATGCCAAGCAACCTTGAAAAATGTAAAAGTCACAACAGACATTACTTCCAGGTAAATGTTACAACAACATATGAACAGTGAACTGAAAATGCTTAGTAGATTTCTTGCTTGTGTTTTCATTTCAGATCGGAGGGATTTCATCTGTGAATTCTGTGCCCGGGCTTTCCGCAGCAGCAGTAACCTCATCATTCACCGGCGTATTCATACTGGGGAAAAACCACTTCAGTGAGTATTTACTGTGCCTTCTACCAGCTGTACTGTACAGGGTTCACCTGTCTTTGGTCTCCCCTCTCTGCCAGGCACATTTTGTGCTTGCATCCTGGTGGTTGGCAGAAGAGAGAGCATTTTAAACCAAAATAAAATTTGAGCTACCCACACTAAACTTAAAGGAGAGGTGTGGACTTTTTTTCCCAAATTACACTTACATAAATGGATGCTGCATCTGTTCCCCGCCGGCTGTAAGTGTGAGAACTCAGCGATCACATACATGACCGCTGATCACTGTGTTCTCACAGCTGCTCTGAGCAGAGAGCAGCGACTGACAGTGACCGCTTCCTGCTCGCCCCCCCCCCGCTCACTGGAGTGCTAAGCTGTGGAGTGGGAGGGAGCAGCTGGCTCAGGCTCTCAGCGAATTGCTGAGAGGCTGAGCCAGCTGCCGCTCCAGACTCTGGGGTGGATCCCAACTTTGAAGTTGGGATCATTCCCCAGCCTGGACTGGCTGAGTGACGTCAACCGACAGCAGGCTTCACCCCACTGTCAGCTGAAAATGGGTAACAAAAGTGCAGAGCGAAACGCACCCCTGTGATCCACAGAAGTACAGCCAAAAGAACTTTGGCTGTACTTCTCCTTTAAAGCTGAACTCCACCCAAAAGGGGAAGTTCCGCTTTTAGGCCTCCTCCGCCAATCCTCTTTATCATTTGGCACTTTAAGGGCTCGTTCACACTAGGCTGTTTTGCCAACGCTTGCCAAACGCCCCTATAGCTTTTGGCAAGCGTTGGTCCGGCGTTTGCGGAGCGTTATTAACGCTCGACAAACGCAAACGCATGCGCGGTTTAGCGGCGGTTGCTAGGCGTTTGCCGAGCGTTAATAACGCCCCACAAACGCCTATAATGCAGTTTGAGTGGTGTTACCGCTCCGCAAACGCCCCGCAACCGCGTCGCAACCGCACCGCAAAACGCCGGCCGGGCGTTTGCGGAGCGGCACCATAGACGAGAATAGGAGGCTTCAAAGCCTCCTGACTCGTCCAGAGGCATCCGTTTTGCCGCGACGCAACGCGACGCGACGCAAACGCTCCCGTTAGAACAGCACCATGTGCTGTAATGTGCAGAATTGGCAGAGGCGTTTGGGAAGCGGTAAAAACGCTTCCCAAACGCCTCTCTGCCGCCTGCACACAAGGCTAGTGTGAACGTAGCCTAAAGAAGAGCTCCAGTCTATTTTCTGAAAATTAAAAGTCAGCAGCTACAAAAACTGTAGCTGCTGACTTTTAATAACTGGATCCAGTGATGTGCTCACCTGGGACAGTGTTCGCTCTTCAGCACCCGGCATCTTAACTGTGGGCACCTGGCTGTGACAACTTGCTCACTTCGCATGCGCTGCACATTGAGAATGGTCCTGCATTCTTCTGAGACCTGGGGGGAGCAGGAGGAAGAACTTCTGCTCAGATTGCCTAGGCGATCCAAGAAGGAGTGGGAGCAGGTACCCCTGATATAGGGGAAGGTGGGCAGTGGGTACTTGGTTTTAACAGGTACCCAATCCCACTTCCACTTGGATTCCTAGGATATGTGTTACAGGTGGGGGACAGCTGATGTCAATATCCTAGCCTACATATTCAACCACAAACTGGATAAGTGTGACTTCAGGTACAGGGATCCTCTAGTGGAAGCAGTGGCTCCTTAGGGGCAGTACACCCTGATCCAGATGCAGGGCATTCTGCTCTGGAATGGCCTAGACAGTGGTGGTACTCCAACCTGATATAACTCCAGGCAGATCCTCAAGGGCCTCTTCCAGGTTGTCCAGATCCTCTGTTTCAAGGACCCAATTTACCATTCTGCTTTCTGGACACTGTCTTAAAGTGCTGAAGCCCAGGATCTGGAGGACAGGAGCATCTCTGAATATGTCATTACCATGATGTTAAGAGCTAGAAAGTGTACTTCTTGCAAGGCCTATCACATACATGGAAGGCATACTTTGTCTGGTGTGAGGATATGACTCCAGAAATTAGTTAGCAAGACAAATGCTTTCCTTTCTACAGCTGCATTTGGCCCTTAGAACTATTAAGGGTCAGGTATATGCTCTTGCTACCTTGTTGCAAAGACCATTGTCTTCCCATTCCTTTGTTGATTGCAATAAAAGGATGTTACAGAAAGGCTACTTTCACATTGATCCGTGTTGTTTGAAGTTTGTTATTTACAGGACATATGACTCAAACAAACACACCAAAAACGCAACGTAGATGTGTTTTTGATGCGTTTTTGCCGTGTTTTTGATGCGTTTTTGCCATGTTTTCCATTGATTTCAATGGGGAGGTGCGTTTTTGGTGCATTTTTTTACCACACCAAACCTGCACCACACAAGCGGCAAGCAGGATTTTAAAAAAAGGAACTGGACCCGCAACAGTGTGAAGCGTTCCATAGGAATACATGGTCACACCTTTTTCTTCCACTTTTTCATGACGCAATAGCAGAAAAAAATGGATCAGTGTGAAAGCAACCTAAGTGCAGCAGTTCTACTATTACATGTACATATGTGTAAACTTTTACCCATTGGCCTTCTTTTGTACAAATCAATTCCCCTTAATAACAGATGTTGAGATAATGGTGTTGATTAACTGAAGGCAAGGGAAGATGCATTTGCATTGGAATTTTCCTCAAAGCTTGGCAAATGAGGTGAAGCTCTGCTGGCTTCCATAATCCACCTATGCAGGTAAAAATGCAGTTTTTTTAAAATATTTTCCTTGCAGGTGATTGGGTATTCTTTGCAAAGTGAAATTTCACCACATTAACTAAGCTCTGGGGAGAATTCTCTTGCAAAGTCAACAGTCTATTTGTCTTTAGTAAATCGACCACAAAATCTCATCCTCAAAAATATAGAGATTGGTAAATGTACCTTGAAAGGGGAACAGGCACAACTATCAAGCAGCACTACTAAGAAACAAACCTTTATATGTAATGAGCAAACATGGCCCTTTGTTCATATATTATTAAAACTATACATAGAAACCGTTTTTTATTACATTAGCACACACTGACGAGTATATTTTTGTGTTCAGCTGATCACTTTCAAATGTGTTTTTTAAAACAAAAAAAAAAAAGACACTTTGAAACAAACCATTGACCAGGTGTGCTGTGTACCAGGGCTGTCTGAATGCATGGGTACTGTTCTGTCTCTCCAATCTAAGCACTGATAGTGTGATCTCTGTAACTTACCGTTGTGATGAGATAGCGATAATTTCAACCTCAGCTGGATACCACAGTCAGTGACTCAATCGGAATGATATCTTGTAGATCTTGTGAAGTTTATTCCATAAACTGAAAGAATCTTACAACAATGAACATTCGATAGGTCAAAAGATCATAATGTTTCCTGCTCCATGACATGAGGCTTGCTGCAATGCATTTCTGAGAAAGGGGGAGGGCTATCTATACAGCATTAACTAAACCAAAGGAAAGGGAGCAGCAGAAGCAAAATATAGAAACACTTAAAGGCATATGACAGTCATGTGAAACATGACCGATACCCAAGGGGCCCCAAGTGCATAGGGGCCCCATGATAATCTTGCATTACATCATACTTGCCAGTTGTCCCGGATTTGCCGGGACAATCACGCATTTTACTAAGCTTTCCGGGGATGGCCCAGGCAGCATCCCAGAACCTATACTGTGCCCTCCTGATCTCAGTACCGCGCCCTCCTGACTTCCCCTGTACTCTGGCCTCCTGACTCCCCCTGTACTGTGTCCTTTGTGTTGATTCGTCTTTGATTTATTGTATGTTTTCTTATTGTTTAAAGTCAATTTTATTGAAAGTACTAATAAATATATATTTAATTCTATCAACCATTTATATGTAAACTTTTTGAGAGTAGGTGCGTAAATTGGAACAGGCTGTTACGGGCCCCAGTGTATTACTTTGCCCTGGGGCCCATGATGCTATTAAGATGGCCCTGCTGTGTACCTAAAGTTAAAGTGCATCTTATAAATGCAAGAACTCAGTCTTGCCACACTGTATGTACAGGTGATCAAAGAGGTCCTGTAATACCTATCCCGAGCAAACTGTGTCTCCAGGCTTCCAGAGCAGCTGGTCATGCTGACATTTGGTCACATGATCCCAGCTAGCATTCATTTATGTGTTCTTGGAGCCAGCCATTCAGCAACTCTGAATCATGTTTATCCCCTTCAGCTGAGTTCATTACCCTTCTCTAAGACTAGCTTCACACCTATGCAGGTTGCGTTTGACCCGTTTCTGCATTGCATTTTGAATTGCATTTTTGCACTTGCATTATTGCTGCATTTTTGATGTGTTTTTTTTTTTTTTTTTTCATTTTTTTTTTCTTGTTGCCAGGCAGATTTCAAGTGTAAAATGCATTGAAAACGCATAAAGAAACACAGCAAAAATGCAATACATGCGTTTCCATTGATGTCTATAGAACCAAAAACGCAACTTTTTGCGTTCAAAAAAGCCCCTGACCCTTTCCAAAAAACACACCAGGTGAAAACGTGGAGATGTGAACCTGTCCCATAGGAAATCATGTTACATGGATTGTACTGCGTTTCTACAAAACACTTCAGAAAATGCTTAGGTGTGAACCTGGGGTAAACAAATGTTCCTTCTCCTCTCTTCAAGGTGTGAGTTCTGTGGGTTCACCTGCAGGCAGAAGGCCTCCCTGAACTGGCACATGAAGAAGCATGATGCTGCCGCTTTGTACCAACATCCCTGTGACATCTGCGGGCAGCGATTTGAGAAGAAAGACAATCTTGCTGCTCACAAGAGTCGTAAGCATCCTGAACCACGTGAAGGGATTTCACAGCCGTCCTTCGAAGGTGACACTTCCTCTGCCGATTATTCCAATCAGGCTGAACTGGCCTTTAAAGCGGATTGCCAGGAGACTCTGACCGAGCTGACAGCTGTCTCTGAGGATAGCATAAAAGAGACGGTCTTCCCCGAGTATCTAGAGCTAACAGAGAGTGTACAGGAAGCCCA